AGAGAATCATTGATCAGCTATCTCCTGCATGGCCCACACTGGGGATTGAGCCTGCAACCCAGGTATGTGCCCTGACTGGAAATCGAACTGTGACCTCCTAGTTCATATGTTGATACTCAATCACTGAGCCACACCAACCAGGCTTATTGCTGCTTTTTAAACTGTTAAAAACACTAGGATTTCTACTCCTTTAAAAGTTACATTTCCTGCCGAAACCCGTTTGGCTCAGTGGATAGAGCGTTGGCCTGCAGACTGAAAGGTCCCAGGTTCGATTCCGGTCAAGGGCATGTACCTTGGTTGCCGGCACATCCCAGTAGGGGGTGTGCAAGAGGCAGCTGACCGATGATTCTCTCATCGATGTTTCTAACTCTTTGTCCCTCTCTCTTCCTCTCTGTAAAAAATTAATAAATTAGCCGAAACTGGTTTGGCTCAGCGGTAGAGTGTTGGTTTGTAGACTGAAAGGTCCCAGGTTCGATTCCGGTCAGGGGCATGTACATTGGTTGCAGGCACATCCCTGGTAGGGGGTGTGCAAGAGGCAGCTGGTCGGTATTTCTCTTTCATCGACATTTCTAGCTCTCTCTCTCTCTCCCTTCCTCTCTGTAAAAAATCAATAAAAATATATATTTTTTAAAAAATCAATAAATTAAAAAAAAAAAGTTACATTTCCTGCCGAAACCGGTTTGGCTCAGTGGATGGAGCATCAGCCTGTGGACTGAAGGGTCCCAGGTTCGATTCTGGTCAGGGACATGTGCATTGGTTGCAGGTGCATGCCCAGTAGGGGGTGTGCAGGAGGAGGCTGATCGATGTTTCTCTCTCATCAATGTTTCTAGCTCTGTCCCTCTCCTTTCCTCTCTGTAAAATATTAATAAAATATATATATATTTTTAAATTACATTTCCTTAGAATTGGGAAAACATTTGTACTTGATTCCTAATCCAATGCCCCCCTGAAATTAGGAAATGTATAAAATGCTGTAATTTCCCCAATTATATAGTCCTAGACATGGTTTGTATAACTAGCACATGCAAATGGTATTTTCCCTATAAGATGATTATTATCTCCTAGAGGCCTGGTGGATGGATTCATGCACCAGTGGGGCCCCTCGGTGTGGCCTGCGGACATCTCCCAAGGAGTCCTGGATTGCAAAGGCTGGGGAGGGACCGCTGGAGGGCTCAAGTCATGTCTGGCCCATCTAGCCTAGTCCCAATCGGTGGGACCCCAGCAGCTACCAGTTGTAGCGACTGCCACCTGGTGGTCAGTGCATGTCATAGTGACTGGTCGAACTGTCAAGACACTTATCATATTAGGCTTTTATTATATACGATGGTTCAAAATAATACATGCTAATACTTACCAGGTACTTATTATACACGAAGCACTATTCTAAGTAGATTAATCCTCACAATACTCCTATAAAGTAGGTACCATTATTATTCCCATTTACAGATGATGAAACTAAGACTTACAGGTCATTCTTCCCTAGAATTATTTTCCTAGAATCACTTAGATTAAATTTCAAACACTGGCTAAGCTATTGATACATCAATTCTAATCAATTTACACTTAGGAAAAATTGTTTAAATTTTTCAATGATTGCAATGCAAAGATTTCATATGAAAAATATAGTCAATTTTTCCCAGTCTGGTGTGGCTTAGTGGTTGAATCTCTTCCTGTGCAACAAAGTGTCACCAGTTTGATTCCTGGTCAGGGAACATGCCAGGTTTCAGGTTCAGTCCCCTTTCATGGTGAGTTCAGGAGCAATTGACAGATGTTTCTCTCTCTCTCAAAAAATGAAAAATTAATAAAAAATATATTTTAAAAATATATATATAAAGTCAGTTTTTCTCAATTACAATACATTTTCTTAAAGGGAAAGGGAACAATAAAACACACACTTTATATTTTTATTGATTTTTTTTTTTTTTACAGAGAGGAAGGGAGAGAGATAGAGAGCTAGAAACATCAATGAGAGAGAAACATTCAACCAGCTGCCTCTTGCACACCCCCTACCGGGGATGTGCCTGCAACCAATGTACATGCCCTTGATCGGAATCGAACCTGGAACCTTTCAGTCCGCAGACCGACGCTCTATCCACTGAGCAAAACCGGTTTCGGCAAAACACTTAACACTTTAAGTGTCTCTGATAGTTCCCCAAACTAAGAGCAGGAGAAAAAAAGATAAATTCCACCTCTTTACCCCACCCTCAGATATTGTTTTTATTCTTCTAAACTTTTATATCATGTTAAAATTATTGCTTTAAAAGTCAACTCTGCAATATTATAATAATTATGCATGGTGTCACTAGACTTATTGGGGTAATTGTGCCATCACTTAGTCTGATATATACCTTAAACTAATATTGTGTGACAAATGTAATTGGAAAATTTATAAAATATTTTTAAAAATAAAATAATAATCAACTCTGCTGATGGGCACTAACTGAATAAACTGATGGCTTAACTCCCATGGAGAAGGAATAACTGTGGAGCAAGCTGGGGGATAATGCTCCTGGAATTATAAAAAATTCCTTGAGTTGCCGAAACCGGTTTGGCTCAGTGGATAGAGCTTCAGCCTGCGGACTGAAAGGTCCCGGGTTCGATTCCGGTCAAGGGCACGTACCTTGGTTGCGGGCACATCCCCAGTAGGGGGTGTGCAAGAGGCAGCTGATCAATGACTCTCTTTCATTGATGTTTCTAACTCTCTATCCCTCTCTCTTCCTCTCTGTAAAAAAAAATCAATAAAATATATATATATTTTAAAAATGTCTTGAATTAATTTACCCAAATGTAATCCATTCATGCACGTATAAAGGCCCAATTCCTGTCCTCTGCAAGGCCAGCCCACAAGGCTTCCGAGTCCTGCAGGTAGGTGTTACACAATTTCTGTTACCTTATGTCCTGATGCTAATCCTAACTCTTGTGGATTTATCTCCACCACCAAGTTGTGGGCATCTTTTGTCACCATTTGCTTTGAATACCTAGCACAGTACTGAATATAGACATTGAAAAAAATTCAGTAAGTACTTGTTTCATTAAGCTTTCATACATTTGTACTGGTTGTGGTCAAGGCTCTCCTTTAAAGTTGCTTCATTTTTTGGCAACTAGGAAAACAGCTTTTCCAGGAGTACTTAGTTCTGTGTCTTCACAAGTTACACAATAAAATAACCCAGAGTCCTATAGCATCCAGGCCCCTATCACTGGTCAAATGCAAATAAGCCAGAATGGGATTATTGCTCCCTTTATCTTGAGGCAAAACTAGCTTTTCCCAATTCTCAATATGCTTTACTCTTCCTCATTAATGTGACTTTTTATTTTAAGCACAAATGCTTTAACCCTGGTGTCACCTTAGTCCTAACACAGGGGTCATGGCACAAAATGTAATAAAATGCTTGCTAAATACAGACTGCTTATATTTCTACTCTTGGAGTTAGAGTGTTATAAACATAGTATAAGGTAAAGTGGCCAACAAATACTGCACCTTATAAATAACTCCTTTCCATTATTCATCCAAAGTCATGAAAAGAACAGCACTGTTATATGGTGAGCTCAGCATCATTAGCCTTTATGGAGAAGCATAATGGCCAATATACACTGAGTGGCCAGATTATTACGATCTCTGAATGCATAATAATCTGGCCACTCAGTGTGTGTGTGTGTGTGTGTGTGTGTGTGTGTGTGTGTGTGTATAGATATATTAGAGGCCTGGTGCATGAATTTGTGCATGGGTGGGGTCCTGGCCAAAGGGAGGGGACATGGGTGGTTGGCTGGCCTGCCTGCTGGTCAATTTGCATATTAGGCTTTTATTATATAGGATATACAATGAGTGACCAGTTTATTATGCGTTCAGAGACATAATAATCTGGCCATTCAGTGTATTAGGTGACAATGAAAGCAGTAAACCACTTAGACAAGGGCTGGGACCATGTAACATTCTTTCCAAATTGAAGGTTCTCCAAAGTTGAATTTGTCAGAAAGCACTGGACAGCATTTAATTTATCTCAGGTCACCAATGCCTGAGTAATTCTGTAGTTTCCCCCAACATGCTCCAATATTACCTGCATAAGGCCACTGAATTACTTACTGGCCACCTCTATAAAAAACAAGTAGCAGAAAGAGACAACTCATATGCTTATATAACTCATGTAAAATACGAGTCATAATGCATTACTGAGAAAATAGTGTATGTATTATTAAGGACTATACAAATGTATGTGATGGAGTTTTACAGAGCTTCTGAATCTCCAAAGGCCTATTGCCCTTTGTTCAGGTTAATGAAGAAGAGACTGGACTATAAAAAAAAAAAAAAAAATCAGTTCTTAATTCAAATTCACACTGAGATTTTTGGAGCACATCCAATTTCCACAGTGACTGCATAAAGTAGAAATCAACATATCTGAAATCGGGACTGCGAGCATCCCCGGTGTAAGTAAAAACTGGTGGTCACAGTCTCCATGCTTTTTCTCCACAAATTCACAAAAAGTCTTATACCCTCAGACCCCTGATTATTTCAAAGTCCCCTATCACCAGTTCACATATTTCCAAGTCTTACTATATAATCTGGCTTTCTGCGCTTCTTTTTCCAGTTGTGGCAAGGTATTTGTGATTTCCCAAAAAATGTCAGTGGTTTTCAGTCCTTGCCCGGAAATGTCACCTAAGGGACTATATACCCAGAGCTGCTGAATTTGCGGCTGGTGAGAGGAAAGATGAAGGAGTTGGGGGGCTCTCCTTAGCAGGGAGCGGAGAAATGAGCGGTGTCCGTGTTCTACGGGAATCGCGACTCCCGTCTGTGAGGCGAAGAACAGTCCCCCAAGAGCCAGGACCCCGACCGGGGAGCCGCGGCTGGACGAGCAGGTTCTCCAGCCACCGAGCCCAAAGCGCAGTGCTGGCGGCTGCCCGGGATCCCCGCAACCTCCGGCACCCCAGCCCCGGGCTTGGGCGACATCTGCCCTCAGTCCTCCCAGAGGCGCCCGGACGCGTTCCCACCCCCGGCCCCGACTCACAGCCCGTCTCCTTCTTGATCTCCTCCAGCTCTTCGTCCCGCAGTAACGTGGAAGCCCGAGACCCCATCGCCGAGGCGGAAGCTCCTCCGAGAGCAGGAGCCTCTGAAGCGACGGCGGAAGCGGGAGGGAAAGAGGGAAGAGAGGGAGGGCCAGGGGTCAAGAAGGAAGAGGGCAGCGTTTCCACCGCGGCCTGGGGAGGGTACCCGGGGGTGGCGCGCGGGCGAGGGCGGCCCCGCGGGCGGCCAATGAGGAGCGGGGCTGCGCCCGGCGCAGGACACGACGTCGGCGCTGCCGGCTACGGCCCCCGAATGAATCACCTCAGCACCCGCCGCGTCTCGCTGGACACGGACACGCCCCCGGAATTGTGACGCAACGGGCCTTAAAAGGGCAATGCCACTCTGGCTGTAGTGGCTGCAATTAAAAGGGCAACGCCATTTTACTCACTTTTCACGTTAACACCTGCGACAGGTTTCTCACAGAACTCCAACAGAAACCCCCGCCCTATGGACGGCACAGAGAAACAGTAACGATAGATAAATGCTCGCTTGGGGACCGCTAGGGTGTCACCTGAGAACAGCTTGCCGGAAGTTGCACTTCCTCGTTTTCCAGGGCGGCCCTCTCTCCTCCTGGCCGCTGGGGGCGCTCTGACAGCGCGCTGGTTGGCTCCGGAGGAACAGCCGGGCCTCTCAGTGGCGCCGGCCGGGCCAACGGCGGCGGCGTTTGCTGCGTCTTCAGGTAACGGCGCCGGGGCTGGCAGTGCCCGGAGTTCCCCGCACAGCAGTCCCTCTTCACAGTCCGAGACGGAAGCTCCAGGAACTCACCATTGGGCGAAAATTGCCACAGAATTTCCCAAACTTCCCTTTGGATAAAAACTCCTACCGACAGAGAAGAGTGAATTCCTAGCGTATGGCTCGCCTTTTTAAAGTTTGTTATTTTGCCTTAAAAACGAGGAATTTTGGATTTAATTCTTGTGTGTAACCCTCACCCGAAGACGCGCGCGCGCGCACACACACACACACACACACACACACACACACACCACACATATCCTAAAAAATGTATGCACATTTAGAATAATTACAAAGGCAGTGTTCATTAAAGTACGTTTCATTTTCAAAATTGACCTATCAGTTCTTAAAGTGTGTATACATTTTTTGGGGGGGAGGGAGACACCCTGTATTATTTTTTAAATTGATTTTAGAGAGAGGAAAGGAGAGAAATAAACATCTTTCCGTCGCCTCCCATACCCCCCCCCCCCCCCCCCCCCAGCGGACTGACCCGGGATCCTGGGTGCTGCCCGGATGGAGTGGCACCGGCCCCGCTTCTCTGGCTCCACCTTCTCGCCTGAGGGACCGCGAGCCAACTCACCGAGCCAAGTCGGCCAGGGCTGCCTGTTATCCTTACGGCATGTTTTTGTTTTCTTGAAAACAAAAGCACTCGGTAAATGAGTGCACCCTCGCAGGTGAACTAGTTCTTTGCCTGTGGCTTCAGTGCCTTTACCCCCCACACCCGCCCAGTGTTGTTTTTTTCGACCCGGTTGAGAGGTGGTTAGAACAAATTCTGCCCTCCATCACTTAGGACCTGAGCACTGGGAGACTCAGCAAGCTGCACAAGTGAGCTTGGCTTACTTGTTTTACGCTTCAGCTAAGGCTCTGCCGGCTTAGCATGAGGCCGAGGGAGGTCCTCCTCCCACTGAATTGCTTTCAGGACTGATTTGCTCTTGTAGGTAGAGACTGGTGTCTGCCTCTGTATGCAGAGTGTGATCTTTGGGACATGCATGACTGTCTTGCAAGTATAGGTGTGGTAGAAAAGGCTTGATGTCAGCCAAGTGAAGGGCCCTTTTCTGAGTCTGCCCTGAAGCCCATCTCCGGATTTTGACCTTAGTTTTTCCTTCCTAATCCTGAATCTACCGTTTGCAGCTGTCCTCTGGGAAAACTTTCTTTGCGTTAATGTTGTTGTTTTTTTTTTTTCTTACTTTACTGTTTTTTAAGCTTCCTTACACTCCAAGCATTTCACAAACTTTTATTTTTTTAAATATGTTTTATTGATTTTTTACAGAGAGAAGAGAGGGACAGAGTCAGAAACATCGATGAGAGAGAATCATCAATCAGCTGTCTCCCGCGCACCCCCCACCAGGGATGTGCCCGCAACCAAGAGGATAGAGTAGAAACATTTCTGGAGTAAACAGTTTGTATTGCAAATGTTTTGCCAAAATCAATTTTTATCATTTGTTCTTTTAGTTTTTATGGTTGATATTAAAAATATATATATGTATCTGCCATTAAACAGTTTATAAACATTCTGCTTATTCAATTAGCTAAGGAAGGGAATGTGATATTACCCCATTTTATAGATGAAGTCATCAAGCCTACATTGCCTTAAGTCCTATGGTTTTCATTTCCCCAGATAAATAAATTAGAGTTGGTGCTTCCAATGATCATTTTTCTCATCATTGTAAAAAGATAAAAATTACTGTTATATTTTATTTTTCTTGTATCTTACAGGTATAGAGAAAGAAAAAATAACCTCACTCCCCCACAAAATATTTTTAAAGTCATGGATCTCTTTTATTTTCAAGTGCTTAGATACTTAAAGAAGATTTCTTGAAGACTGCTTTTGGAGTAAAAAAGCATGGATCCCAGCAGTGACTACCATTACCTCAATCAGATTTTGTGGAGAAGGGTGAAACTCACATTGGTTTGTGGCATCTTTGAGGGAGTGCTCCAGCATGTGGACCCTAACAAGATTGTTATCTTGAAGAAAGGTCTCTTTTTATTTCTCATACGTAATCTTCTGCCTTTTAAGAAATTCATAGCTTACTTTGGGTGATGACTCTGGGCTCCTCTAGGATTGTTAGTAGGCATCATTCCTATTTTAGGAAAGGGTAGGAGGAAGATTAGAATGCTATTTTCCCTAACAACAACATGGCTGCATATACTAGCTTGTCCCACTTCTATACTTTTACTGACATGATAGTAGAAAATTTTAATATATTTATTTAATTGTGTAGTTCTTTTAATTTTTCTCTGTATGCATCTTGAAATTTAAAATAACTGCTCTATTAGAATTGCTTTTGGCTTTATTTTATTTTTTAAAATTTCTTTATTGATTAAATTGTTACATATGTGTCCTTATTCCCCCATTATTCCCCCTTATCCTCCCCCACCCCCCCCACTCATGCCCTCACCCCCATTGTCCGTGTCCATTGGTTAGGCTTATATGCATGCATACAGTCCTTTGGTTGATCTCTCCCCCTTACCCCCACCCTCCCCTACCTTCGTTCTGAGGTTTGATGGTCTGATCCATGTTTCTCTGTCTCTGGATCTATTTTTGTTCATCAGTTATGTTGTTCATTATATTCCATAAATGAGTGAGATCATGTGATATTTATCTTTTTCTCACTGGCTTATTTTACTTAGTATAATGCTAAGTCCATCTATTCTATTGCAAATGGTAAGAACTCTTTTTTTTATAGCAGCGTAGTATTCCATTGTGTAGATGTACTACAGTTATTTAATCCACTCATCTGCTGATGGGCACTTAGGCTGTTTCCAAATCTAAGCTATGGTGAATTGTGCTGCTATGAACATAGGGGTGCATATATTCTTTCTGATGGTGTTTCTAGTTTCTTGGGATATATTCCTAGAAGTGGAATCACTGGGTCAAATGGCAGTTCCATTTTTTGTTTTTTGAGGAAACTCCATACTGTTCTCCACAGTGGCTGCACCAGTCTGCATTCCCGCCAGGAGTGAAGGAGGGTTCCTTTTTCTCCGCATTCTTGCAGCACTTGTCTTTTGTTGATTTGTTGATGATAGCCATTCTGACAGGTGTGAGATGGTACTTCATTGTTGTTTTGATTGCATCTCTCGGATGATTAGTGACTTTGATCATGTTTTCATTTGCCTCTTGACCTTCCTTCTGTCTTTTGAAAGTATTTATTTAGGTCCATTGCCCAGTTTTTGATTGGATTGTTTATCTTCCTTTTGTTAAGTTGTATGAGTTCCCTGTAAATATTGGTGATTAAACCCTTATTGGTAATAACATTGGCAAATATGTTCTCCCATTCAGTGGGCTTTCTTGTTGTTTTGCTGATGGTTTCTTTCGCTGTGAAAAAGCTTTTTATTTTTATGGAGTTCCATTTGTTTTTTTTTCTCTTTAGTTTTCACTGCCCTGGGAGCAGTATCAGTGAAGAAATTGCTTCGGCATACGTCTGAGATTTTATTGCTTATGGGTTCCTCTAGTATTTTTATGGTTTCCTGTTTTATGTTTAAGTCCTTTATCGAATTTGTGTGTGTGTGTGTGTGTGTGTGTGTGTGTTTTTTGTTTTTTTTTTGTAAGGTGTAAATTGGTAGTCTAGTTTCATTTTTTTTACATGCATCTGTCCAACTTTCCCAATACCATTTATTGAAGATACTGTCTTGACTCCATTGTATGTTCATGCATCCTTTGTCAAATATTTTTTTATATATATTTTATTAATTTTGTACAGAGAGGAAGGGAGAGAGATAGAGAGCTAGAAACATCGATGAGAGAGAGAGTCATTGACCAGCTGCCTCTTGCACACCCCCTACCGGGGATATGCCCGCAACCAAGGTACATGCCCTTGACCGGAATCGAACCCAGGACCTTTCAGTCCCCAAGCTGACGCTCTATCCATTGAGCCAAACCAGTTTCGGCCAGATGAATTTTTGGAGAGTTTGTTCTAGGTCTCTGAAATACACCGTTGGTATTTTAATGGAGAGTGCATTGAATCTATAGATTGCTTTGGGTAATATAGACATTTTAATGATGTTGATTCTACCAATTCATGAAAATGGTATGTTCTTCCACCTGTTTATGTCTTCCTCTATCTCTTTTTTCAGTGTCCTGTAGTTTTCCACATATAGGTCTTTTACATCCTTGATTAAAAAAAAAAAAAGATGAGTAAGAATTATTGATTGGCTGCCTCCTGCACACCCCACACTGGGAATTGAGTCCTGGTACAACCTGGGCATGTACCCTGAACGGAAATGGAACCATGACCTCCTGGTTCATAAGGCAAAACTCAACCATTGAGCCACACTGGCTGGGGAGAGTTTAATTTTTTTTTTAGATTAAAAATTTTTTTTATTGATTTCAGAGAGGGAGAGAGAGATGAAAACATCAATGATGAGAGACAGTCATTGACAGGTTGCCTTCTGCATGCCCCATACTGGGTATCTAGCTCGCAACCTGGACATGTGCTTTTGACCAGAATTAAACCTGGGACTCTTTAGTCTTCAGGCTGATGCTATATCCATTGAGCCAAACTGGGTAGGGCAGTTTAAATGTTTTTGATGCATATTTCCAAATAGTTTTTCAAAAGGGTTGGGTATTATTTTGCTTCTATTAACGTATGAGTAAATTATGTTAAACAATCTAGCATTTAATTTTTTTAAAAAAATCTTTCCTTTATTTTTGCTAGTTTTATAGACAAGTGATATTTCATTTTGGCATATTTTAAAATATTTCTAGAGAGATGGAACATATTTCTTTACACCTGTTTCCTGATTTTGTGTACTATTTGAACAAAGTCAGCATGGTCATCACTGTGTCAGCAGTGTGAAGGAATGATTGAAGCAGGGAGAAACTAAACACAAAGCGAAGAATAGACAGGAACTATTCAGACAATCAAAGGACCCAATGCAGGAGAAATGATGGGGCGTGGCAAGGAATGGAAAAGAGAAGATAGATTCTATAAATGATGGGATGAGTAACCGAGTAATCATTAGATAAAGAGCAATGAAAAGTGACTCCTACTTTTATGACTCAGAAAATTAGGTGTATAGTAGTTATTAATTGATAGAAATGGGAAGAGGAGCAGGTTTATTGGTTACTAGGAGAAGATATGATTCAGTTGGAAAATCTTAAGTAACTATTATTAGTTGAAAATGTGAGTAGGATTCAGAGAAATATTCCATATTGGAGAAATAATGCATGTGAGGACAGCTACAGCTAAGAAGTCGATGTGATTATTCAAGGAGAAGGAGAAAAGATGAAGAACATAACCCTGGAGACTATCAATGTGCAGTGAGATGGTAGAGGCAGCTAAGGAAACGGTTGAACTCTGTCTTTTACTAGCAGTGTGACTTGAAGCAAATTATTCAACCTTCAGAGCCTTCGATTCCTCCATAATAGAGATAATGAAATGCCTGACTTACTGTTACTGGATAATTAAATATAGGCAAAGAATTAGCATGGTGCTTGGCGTGGAGTGGGTGCTCAGTATGGTACTTCTAGGTCACTAGTAGGAAAGAACTAAACAAAGAGTGTCCTGTAAAGACAAGAAGAAAGGAGAAAACAGAATCAAAGGATGTGTGGGAGCCAAGTATGTTAATACTATAAACGTTTTGGGGGGATTTGAGAAATAGGCAGCTGGTGATTTTTTTTTTTTAATATATTTTATTGATTTTGTACAGAGAGGAAGGGAGAGAGATAGAGAGTTAGAAACATTGATGAGAGAGAGTCATCGATCAGCTGCCTCTTGCACACCCCCTACTGGGGATGTGCCCGCAACCAAGGTACATGCCCTTGACCGGAATCGAACCCGGGACCCTTCAGTCCCCAAGCCAACGCTCTATCCATTGAGCCAAACCGGTCCCGGCGGATTTGAGAAATAGGCAGCTGGTGATCTTTGACCTCAGTAAAAATATATTCAGTAGAATCATGAGGGTGAAACTCAATTATTTTGGATTGCTGAGAAATGTGGAAATATACAACTGCTGTGAGCACTTCCTTCTAGAAAAATAACACCGTACTGTAGACATGAGATCTCTTCTCCTAATCCCCCTATCTGTTCAGAAAAGAGCCCTGTATTAAGGCCAGGAATTTTATTGTTATCCCTGACAATTAGTATTTTTGAGCATGTAGTGTGAAACAGAGTGTGGACTCTAGAAATAACTACCTGAAAATTTTTCTGGAGTTAGGTGGACTAAAATCCAATGGAAATTTAGTAAATATATATAATTCTTAGCCCTAAAGGCTCTTGCATATTCTTGGTAGAAGTTTAAGTTTTTATTTATTATTGATTTTTATTTATTTTTAAAAAATATTTTATTGATTTTAGAGAGGGAGAGAGAGAGATAGAAACATTAATGATGAGAATCATTGATCGGCTGTCTCCCACACGCCCCCTCCTGGGATGGAGCCTGCAACCCAGGAATGTGCCCTTGGCTGGAATCAAACCCAGGATCCCTCAGTCTGCAGGCAGACACTCTATCCATTGAGCCAAATCACCTAAGGCTTATTATTGATTTTTAGAGAAAGAGAGGAAGGGGGAGAGAGAAACATCAATTTGTTGTTCCACTTATTTATGCATTCACTGTTTGATTCTTTTTTTTTTTTAGATGAAAAAACATTATTTTACTGTATAAATTAGTTAATATACCTGATTACATCTTCTCAAAAGGCAAATGAGACACATGACAGCATTTATCTTTGAGTACTGAAAACCTCAATATCATCTGTCTTTTGGAGGATTCAGTTTCTTATGACATGTATGATACTGTCCATGAAGATACCAACGGTGCTTAGTAGTAAAGAACATTTTGCTAATTTGTTCTATCATGCGTCCTTGCTCAAAGTGTTTATCTTTTTCTCCTAATCTGTTTTTCAGTATTTGTTCCTGTGTTTCTTCATAGTTATAGGCACAGGATCTGGCTGAGGGATAGGCTTGGTGTTTTCCTATGGATGGTAGCAGACTATCATCCTGCCATCAGATGTCAAAGCAAGTTCTACTTGGCAATTATAGTCATCTGGAAGAGGAGAGTATGTGGATTTATGACAAACACAGTATAAAGCTCCATTTTTAACTGGAAATAAATATTTCAAGATAGTTTTGCTTGAGACTGCCCATTTCACTGCTAAAATGGCCATAGTGAATCAAGATGCTTATCCACTGGTATAGAAAAAGATTTGAAGAGGAAATGCTTTTAAAATTTGCTTCTAGGCAGCCGAAACCGGTTTGGGTCAGTGGATAGAGCGTCGGCCTGCGGACTGAAAGGTCCCAGGTTCGATTCCGGTCAAGGGCATATACCCGGGTTGTGGGCACATCCCCAGTAGGAGGTGTGCAAGAGGCAGCTAATGGATGATTCTCTCTCATCGATGTTTCTAACTATCCCTTTCTTTTCCTCTCTGTAAAAAATCAATAATATATATATATATTTTTTAATTTGCTTCTAGGCATACCTATTTTCATCCCTTGACAGCTGCTCACTACAGCTGCCATTTTGCCTCCCACAGTTTGATTTTTGTATGTGCCCCGACGGGAGATTGAACCCAGAACCTTAGTGTGTCAGGATGATGCTCTAATCAACTGAGCTACCTAGTCAAGGCTCCTTTGGAGAAGTTTAAATTCACTACCATTGCCCTTTTAGTTTCTCTGGGGTTCCCTTTGTTCTTTATATTGCTGTTTCAAGGCTATAGCTTTGCAATTTGTTACTGACTCTTCATTATTTGGGGGAAAATAACTTGGGGATTTTTATTAAACTCAAATTGAGCACTTGTGAGAGGTATATTTTCTTACGGTTTTAGGGAGTATTATTTTTTATTAACCATTTAAATTATTTTCTATAACAGTGAAGAATGTGGAGACTGGTCGAAGTGTCCCAGGAGTGAAGATGTTTTTTGGACATGAGATTGTGAATGGTGAGAGCTTCATTGTCATTGAATGCTGGTATTGGGATTTGCAGGGGTAAATTCACTGCATTGCCGCATTCCAATATTTGAAAAAAACGATTGTTATCTTGCCTTTAAGATTGCATTTATGAACTCTTAAAGTTAGTATTTGAGAATTGATACTTACCTTACTGATTCAGTGGATATTATGAGCAAAAATAGTCCTAAAGAATTTTAGTTATCCTGGTTTTTACAATGTGAGGATTGCTAGTGCTCATTACTAGAAACCCAGCCAGAGGCACAGTTAGGAATCTGAACAGAAAGGAATTGTCTTGCTACAGGTTCACAGTACATTATCTGAAACCTTGGGGCCAAATTTTTCAGAATCCAGAATTGTACTGGACATTTGGAAAACCTAACACAGAGTATATATTGTTCATATTACATAACACCTCAAGCAGATGTAGGAAGCACTCTGTAATAAAACACATTTCTACAGAGAAATGGGTAGATAATCATACTAAGTGGAATAAAATAGGACTATAAGTATGTCAGTTCATGTTTGCTGCCAAAAGAATCACAGGAAAAAAATTTTTTTCCCAGAGCTTTTTGGGTTTTGGAATCACAGGAAGCAGCTCTGTTCTTTATTTCTGCCAACAAAAGCCATTTAGCAAGAGTAGCTCCAATTGTTTGCCTGAAATAGTATAGAAGCTCATCTGGTCAGTGTGTCTCAGACAAGCGATATGGGCTAAGAAAAGGGCTGGGAGCAAGAACTGTTTTTGCTTTCAAGAACTGAAAAGCAGAAATCCCTCCCTGGAGGAATGAAGTTCAGGCAGGGAAGAGAAGGTGGTGGAGTTGGAGATCTGGGTCGGCATAGAGCTCTGCATTTCTTACCATTGGGGCAAATAGGAGGAAAGGAAAGGACTTCTGTAAAGGAGAAATTACTGCTGCTTGAAAGTTTGCTTTGTTTTGTGAGAGAAGTAGAATTTAGGGAGAGATGAAAATCTCACCAAATTAAATGACTGCCAATCCAGATCCACTTCTAGCCAGCTATCTAACTGTCCTTAGTCACTGAGTATGCTACTGTAAAACTCTGTCCCTTGAACTACTTTTTACAATGTCAGTGATGGTGGTGGCAGTAGTGGGATTCTTTCTTTTCGTTTTTTTTTTTTTTTTCGTGGGGGTGGTGGTGGTGGTGGTGGTGGTTAATTCTCATCCAAGGATATTTTTTTCCATTGATTTTTAGAGAGAGTGGAAGGGAGGGATAAGGACAGAGAGAAACTTTAGTGACCCCTGAGAGCCTTTTTCCCTCAGAAGTAACTAAGTATACACAATTGAATCTAAGATGCCATTAATTGTAAGGTACACTATTATTTTCCCATCCTAAGGAAAAAAAAAAAAAAGTCTTTCAATTGTGAGTCATATTCAATTTCAGAGCTGTTTAAAATGTGCATCTTATCAACCGAAGGACTTGTGTACATGCATATAACTACAACCAATGGACATAAAACTCTGGGAAGGGAGGATATGTATGGGAGGGAGGGGGGCAAAAAAAAATCAATAAAATATATTAAAATAAATAAATCAATAAAATATATTAAAATAAATAAATAAATAAAATAAAATAAAAATGTGCATCTTAGCCAAAACCAGTTTGGCTCAGAGCGTCAGCCTGCAGACTGAAGGGTCTCAGGTTCGATTCCGGTCAAGGGCATGTACCTTGGTTGTGGGCACATCCCCAATAGGAGGTATGCAGGAGAAAGCTGATCGATGTTTCTCTCTCATTGATGTTTCTAACTCTCTATCTCCCTTACTCTCTGTTAAAAAATCAATAAAATATATTTAAAAAAAATAAAATATGCATCTTAGAATCAATGATCCTATCTAATAAAATAATAATATGCAAATTAATCATCACTCCACTACACCCTCAAGCCACGATCAATATGCAAATCAACAATCACTCTGCTATACCCACAAGCCACACCCACCAGTGAATCAGGAGCGAGTATGCAAATTAACCAACCAAAATGGTTGAGGCCAAGTAGAGAGCAAGAGGGAGGCTTGGGTTTTCCCGGTGATGGATGAAGCCAAGCTTTCCACACATCCTGGCCAGCCCAGGCCTCATCTTAAGGCTACAAAGTTTCAATTATAGAAGATAAATAAATCCCAACAAAATGGCGGTAGCCCTGGAGCTGGAGACAGCAGGAGGCTAGGGTTGCCTCTGGTGATGGAGGAAGCCAAGCTTCTGCACCTCTGGCCTGCTTTGGCCTCTGCTTGAGGTTACAAAGTTTCAATTATAGAAGATAAATAAATCCCAACAGAAATGGCTGCCACCTCAGGGCCAGCAGAAGGCTTGGCTCCACTCCGGGCTACAAAGTTTCAGTTGTAGAAGATAAATAAATCCCAGATACCAGGACCTCTGGGTCACTAGGGGTCATGGCCAGCCTGCAAACCACCACAGGACCCTTGCCAAGGCCGCCCCATTCCCCAAGGGAACCCCACTCTGATCCAGGACACCCTTCAGGGCAAACCAGCTGGCTCCCACCTGTGCACCAGGCCTCTATCCTATCTAATAAAAGAGTAATATGCAGATTGACCATCTCTCCAACACACAAGATGGCTGCCCCCATGTGGTCAAAGATCCTGCCCCCATGTGGACACAAGATGGCCACCACAAGATGGCCAGAAGGGGAGGGCAGTTGGTGATCAAGCCTACATAGGAGGGCAGTTAGGGGTGACCAGGCTGGCAGAGGAGGGAAGTTGGGGGCAAATAGGCTGGTAGGGGAGCAGTTAGACATCAGTCACGCTGATGGGTGTGGTTAGGAGGTGATCAGGTTGGCAAGCAGAAGTGGTTAGGGGCAATCAGGAAGGCAGGCAGGCGAGCTCTTGGGAGTCAGCAGTCCTGGATTGAGAGAGGAATATCCAATTGCCTGTTTAGGCCCAATCCCCATCAGGATCAGGTCTAAACTGGCAGTCAAACATCCCTCAAGGGGACCCAGATTGGAGAGGATGCAGCCTTGGCACCAATTTCGGGGCCTCTAGTCTATAATATTTCCCTACATTCCTGCACTGCTAGGTTAAAAATAAATTGTTTCAGAATCTCATGGAATGTTTTTTTCTCATATTTCTTTTGTGATTTTGAATCTAGCTTTTATTTTCATGTCACTGAAATATTAATATAATAGCTTCTGAGAGTTTGAAAGGGATAGATTTGTTTGTGGTTTCATAGAAAACCCCAAACAGGTTCACGCTGTGCGAGTTGATGTCGAGAGTGAGGTCCTGCTCCAGGCCCACCGCCGGTTCTCCCCGGCGGGCCAGGGATAGCGGAGATGACAGCGGGGGTGGGGTCCTGCGGAAGGACACATCTGACAGGTCATTTGAGGAGCTGTTGGAATTGCAGAGCCAAGTGGGGACTAAGACATACAAACAATTGGTAGCTGGAAGCAGCACTAAGAAGCAAGGCTTTAGACCACCTGTCCAAAATGCATGTGTTACAGATAAGCACAGGCCTCTGGAAATGTCAGTGAAGGTTTGAGTGCCATTTTTGTGTTAAGTTGTCCCCATCAGTAAGAAGGAAGCCTGGGACCTCCACTTTGACTATTTGTCAGGGGAATATAATCCTGAAGTGTTTGACAAAACATATCAATTCCTAAATGACATCTGAGCCAAAGAGAAAGCTTGTGAAAAAGCAGTTGAAGAAGCACTGTGCAGGGGAGAAGCTGCAGCAGCTGCTTCAGCGAATGGAGCAGCAAGAAATGGCCCAGCAGGAATGAAAGTGGCAGCAGAAGCTGTGCCTGGCTCTGAAGCAGGAGCGGCGGGCTCAGGCCCAGTAGGGCCATCAACCATACTTCCTGAAGGAATTTGAACAGCGCCAGTTGGTCCTAGCTGAGAAGTTCAAGGAGCTGAAACACAGCAAGAACCTAGACAGCTTCTTGAGTCGAAAAAGGCACCAAAACGCAGGCAAAGAAAGGCGACATCTTCCTTTGAATAAAGACTAGTAAGACACTGACCTCAGCTCTGCCACTGCCCCAGTGAGAAATGGATCTGTGGGGACAGACTTGGGCTTGGCCTGTTCTGGATCTTTCCCGTTCAAGGACAAGGATCACAGCTGCCCTTGAACTATAATAGATTGGCTCAGCAATGACTAGAGGGTTCTTTGGCTGCCCCAGGGATGGATAAGAACAGCTCAGCCAGTCCACACTTCCTCTGCTTGGACTGGTTCCTCCCATCATGTACTCGTGTCCTCCCATCCTTGCCTTAAACTAAGGATGGGGAACCTTTTTTCAGCCAAGGGCCACTGTATATTTATAACACCATTTGTGGGCCATACAATATTATCTGCCATATTTAATCAAATATTTAATTAACTCGCCCCTAATGCCTTGGCAGGGCCAAACCAAATGACGCCATGGGCCTTATTGGCCCACAGGCCAGACATTCCTCACCCCTGTGAAATCAGTGATTCTGATAGAGAAGAAAAAAGGTCAGTGACCTTAAGGTTAGTGAAGGCCATGGAGTCTGTTGATGGCCTCCAGGACTGGGACTTTCTGTAAGAGCCAGTTAATAAACATTCTTGTCACACACAAAAAAGAAAAAGACCTCCAAACAGTATGCAGGGTGAAGAAAGATGCATTGGAAATGGAATGAACAGAAAAGAAAAGATATTTCTAGAACCAATCTGTATGACCACAGAGTGCTGTGGAACAAAAACAAAAAAACAAAAAAGTAAACAGAACAGTTAGGTTCCTAATCCCGCTGAATGGCCAAGGAAGCTACAAAGGGACATAGCCTAAGTGTCCATCGATATACATTTGGATAAAGAAGATGTGGTACATATATACAATGGAATATTACTTGCCTATAAGAAAGAATAAAACCTTAACATTTGCAACAACAGAAACAAATTCAGAGAACCCAACTGATGGTTGCCTGATGGGGTTGAATTTGGGAACTGGGTGAAAAAAATTGTGAAAAGATTAAGAAGTACAGATTGGCAGTTACAAAAAAGTCATGGGGAATGTAAATTACAGCATAGAAAATATAGTCAATGATATTGTAATAACTAGAGGCCAGGAGCATGAAATTTGTGCATGGGTAGGGCCCCTAGGCCTGGCCGGCCATCAGGGCCGATCGATTGGGGCCTTCCTTCCCCTGGCTGCTGGCTGCCAGCTGCCATCTGGGGCCTTCCTTTATTCCGCACTGCCCCCTGGTGGTAATCACATGTCATAGTGGGCAGTTGAACTCCTGGTTGGTCAAACTCCCGAGGGGACAATTTGCTTTTTAGCCTTTTATTATATAGGATTATGTATGGTGCCAGGTGGGTACTGGACTAATTGGGGTAAACACTTCATAAGATATAAATATCTAACCACTATACTATACATCTGAAACTAATATAATATTGAATATCAACTGTAATTGAAAAATAAAAATATTAGGAGTAATGAGTACTTTGGATAGTCTTTTCTACTCTGTTGCTAGCATATTAAGGCCTCTGGGGACTAATATTTTATTTCCAATCACTGTTTTGGTACATGGACAAACTGTGGACAGGTGCAGATGGAGGTGTTAATTGCTTTTAGATTGGAACTGTTGGAAGCCATTTGTTTCTTTTACAGTGGAACTACTGGATGAAGTGGAACAAGGTACAGTGGGAGAAAAAGCATCCTCCGTTAGGTATGATGGAATACTTTTCTTAATTATTATGTACACTTTAGAGTAGAATGCATTGACTAATTCACTAGTTGGGTAATAGAAATGAGTAAAAAATAGATGGATATTTTCTTCCATATGTATTTTATTATTTTTCAAATCTTTTTTTTTTTTTTTTAATCCTCACCTAAGGAGTGAGGGTATTTTTTCCATCAATTTTTTTTTAAGCGAGAGAGTGGAAAGGAATGGGGAGAGGAAGAGGAAGAGAAAGAGACGAACATCAATGTGTCACATTGATTGGTTGCCTCCTACACACACCCCGTCCAGGTTGTGGATGGGACCTGTTGCCCAGCCAGGTACATGTCCTAAATTGAGAATAGAACTGGCAATTTTCCGGTGCCCAGGCTGAGGTTGTAACCTCAAAGCAATGCTGGCTAGGGCTTCTTCCATCTTTAAATATATTTTATTGATTTTTCACAGAGAGGAAGAGAGAGGGATAGAGAGTTAGAAACATTGATGAGAGAAAATCATCGATCAGCTGCCTCTTGCACGCCCCCTACCGGGGATGTGCCCGCAACCAAGGTACATGCCCTTGACCGGAATTGAACCCGGGACCTTTCAGTCTGTAGGCCGACGCTCTACCACTGAGCTAAACCGGTGCCGGCTTCTTCCATCTTTAGATGGTATATTCAAATCAGTATAAGCAGTGGATGAATGGGGTCCTCTATGAAGTGGAGATCTAGAGTTCTTATTATTGATGTGTGGCAAAATCTGTGTAAGGCATTAGCAACAAAGAGCAATTCACCTGAGCATTGTTTTTTTGTAAGCATAGTCTAAATACAGAAAGAACCAGTTTGGATAAAATGAAAGACGAAGACTTAAATGTATGTGAGCCTCCTCCTGCCCCTGAGGCACCAACCACCTCTCTTCTGAGCGACCTCAAGTACAGCCCATCAGGTGAGTACTGGGCTTCTATTTGTTTTTTGTTAATCCTTCCCAAAGGATATTTTTTCCATTGATTTTTTTAGAGAGAGTGGAGGGAAGTAATGAGGTAAGGGGAAGAGAGAGAAAGAGAGAGAAAAACATCACTGTGAGAGAGACACATGGATTGGTTGCCTCCTAACATGCCCAGACCGGGCCAGGGATCATACCTGCAACCCAGGTACATGCTCTTTACCAGGATTCAAACCTAAGACCTTTTGGTCCCAAGGCTGACGCTCTAAATACTGAGCAAAACTGGCCAGAGCTGGGCTTTCTTTTTCTTTTTTTCTTTTTTTTAAATACATTTTTATTGATTTTTTACAGAGAGGAAGAGAGAGGGATAGAGAGCTAGAAACATCGATGAGAGAGAAACATTGACCAGCTGCCTCCTGCATACCCCCTACCAGGGATGTGCCCGCAACCAAGGTACATGCCCTTAACCGGAATCGAACCCAGGACCTTTCAGTCCACAGACCAATGCTCTATCCACTGAGCCAAACCGGTTTCGGCTGGGCTTTCTTTATTGTGGCTCAGCACTCTTCAGAATTGGCATAACCCTAAGTTAGGGTTCCATATGGAATGCTCAGCTAAGCCATTGCTCCCTGGTCCTAAATTAACATAAAATATAATGATTCAATTATTTATTTAATACTTGAGTGCACACTATATTCATACATTGGGTATACTGTTACCTCATTGAAACCTGTTGGAGAAAATAGACACTAAATAATTAAGATAAATAGTTTAATATATAGTATGCCAGTGCCAAATGCCATAGAGAGAAAAAAACAGAAGAAAGAGTAGAAGTCTGGCCTGGCCAGTGTGGCTCAGTGGTTGAGCATTGACCTGTGAACCACAAGGTCATGGTTTGATTCCTGGTTAGGGCATATGCCTAGGTTGCAGGCTCAGTCCTCAGAGTGGAGTGTGCAGGAGGCAGCTGATCAATAACTCTTTCATCATTGGTTTCTTTCTCTCTCCCCTTCTTCATCTCTGAGATCAATAAAAATAAAAAATAAAAAGAGTAGTCTGACTGGTTTGGCTCAGTGGATAGAGTGTCTACCTGCGGACTGAAGGGTCCCAGGTTCGATTCCAGTCAAGGGCATGTACCTTGACTGTGGGCACATCCCCAGTAGTAGGTGTGCAAGAGGCAGCTGATCGATGTTTCTCTCCCATTGATGTTTCTAACTCTGTTCCTCTCCCTTTTACTCTGTAAAAAAATCAATAAATTTTTTTAAATAAAAAGAAAGTATGAAAGAAAGAAAGAAAGAAAGAAAGAAAGAAAGAAAGAAAGAAAGAAAGAAAAGAAAAGAAAAGAAAAGAGAGAAATTGTTTTTTTGTAAACATAGTCTAAATACAGAAAGAACCAGTTTGGATAAAATGAAAGACAAAGGAGAGAGTGGAGTCTGTGGAGAGAGTGGTTTTACAATTTAGGGTTTCCAGAACAGGCCTTATCGAAATGGTGACATTTGAGTAATGGGCTGGAGAAGGTGAGGGATAGAGCTGTATAGATATCTATGGAAAATATTTTTTAGGCAGAATAAAGAACAAATACAAAAGCCTTGAGAAAGAAACATGTCAGGATCTTGACATAACAGCAGAGATCAGTCTAGCTGGAGCAAGGAGAGTAGTAGGAGATGAAGTGGGGTCAGTGGATCATGGAGCAAGTTGTAGGTCACTGGAGGGACTCTGAAGTGAGAAGCCACTGGAGGATTTCTTGGATTATCATTTCCCTAATGGGTAAGGATGTAAGGATTTTTAACGTGCTTATTTGCCATTGACTATCTTTGGTAAAATGTCTGTTCATATCTTTTGCTCATCTTCTTATTGAAGCACTAGGGCCCCAGTGCACGAATTTGAGTACCTTGAAAGGAACTGTGGGCCATGAGGATGCAGTGGGCTCAGGGGCAGGTTTTGACCCATCCTCTATGCCCCCGCCTGGCCGCTCCCACCATGGCCCCTGGACCCCTATCTGCACTTCCTGCTGATCCCACACGTTGATGGTGCCAGCCCCGCTCATACCCACTGATGGCATGGAGTGATTGGGGCTGGCGCCAGCAGCTGGTACAAACTGGGCAATCACTGTCAGCAGGAGGGAGTGGCAGTTGCTGCCCCATTCACTGCTCAGGAGCAGAAGGAAGTAGAGAAGCCCTCAGGGGCGATCAAAGCTGGCAGCTGCTGCTCGCACCTGCTGATGGTGCCAAGTGATCGGGACTGGTGCCAGGCAATGGCAGCGGGTGCGAGCAGCAGCTCTGATGCCGACTGGAGGTGCGAGTAGGGCTGGCATCGGCAGAAGGTGCGAGCGCTGGGTGGGACTGCGGTGAGCAGGAGCCAAGAAGTTTCAGTAGCCAGCAGAGGCTCGCCCCGATGACAGCAACCAGTGCCCGCCTTAGTCTGGCGCCCTCGCTCACCTGCTCCACCATCCCGCTGCAGCCAATGCCCCCCATGTTCTGCACACCCCCCGTTGGTCAGTGCAAATGATAGCAACTGGTTGTTTGGTTGTTCTGCCATTTGATCTATTTGCATAGACCTCCTGCATTGAGCGTCTATCCTCTGGTGGTCAGTGCACATCATAGCGACAGGTTGGATGGTGGAAAGGACACTTAGCATATTAGTCTTTTATATAAATAAATACTGAAAGGAAGACAAGGGTGAAAGCATGAATACCCCTTAGGAGGCTATTGAAATAATTTTATAATTAGTGAGTATGGTGAAACTTGGATCCTAGTGGTGGCAGTATGATTGGTAAGAAGTGATGGAATTCTGGGTGTTTGTTGAGGTGAAGCATACACGATTTACTGGTAGACCAGATATGGATGTGAAAGAAAGAGAGGAATTAAGGATGATTTCAGGGGTTTGGGCCTGAGTATCCTGAAGTATGTTGTTGCTGAAACTGAGATGGGAAATACTGGATGGAAAAGGTTTGGGAAAAATAAGAGTTTAGTTTCTGTTTACCTAAGTTTGAATATAAATCTAGAGATGAGAGATAGGTCTGAAATGGAGATACATATTTAAGAGAGCCTATAAATGATATTTAAAGCCTTGAGATTAGATGAGTCACCGAGGGAGTGAGTATGGATAGAAAAAAAGAAAGAGATGCATGGACTGTATCCTATGCCACCCCAAAGATTCAGAGGTTGAGAGATGAAGAACTATATGTTATACTATGTCTGCAATCTTTTAAACATATTAAAATAGGTTTTTATTGAATTCAGAAAGGAAGGGAGAGGGAGAAAGAGATAGAAACATCAATGATGAGAGAATCATTGATTGGCTGCCTCCTGCACGCCCCCTACTGGGGATGGAGCCCGCAACCCTAGCATGTGCACTGACCAGGAATCCAACCCCGACCTCCTGGTTCATAGGTCAACACTCAACCACTGAGCCACACTGGCTGGGCTATCCCAATAATCTTTTAAATGACATAATTAAAAAGTAATTCGCTTTCAGAACCCAGAGAATCTCAAATGTGTGGACATTGGCCCATCTCCAGGATTAATTTATTAAAACTCTTATTTTTTTTTAAATTATGAACATGCTTTTAAAAAGTGTGTGTTGAAGTATTTAAGACATAAACCTATGAGGAGGGAAACGTTACTGTGTTATTACAAAAAGTGACTAAATTGTCCAATTCATACGATTATCACTAGTGAGGCTTTTGTTTATTCTCAGTTGATAAACAGGATGCAAATAGTGCTCACTGTGTGATGGGCTGATGCAGGTGATAATGAAATAACATTAAACATTTGAGTTACAATAGAGTAGGATTCTATTAATATGGCTAAAATTAGTGGGAGAGCTATTTTATTTCCAAGAAAGACAAATATATCTAATACCATCATTTCCATGTAGAGGAAGAAGAGGTGACATACACAGTCATTGATCAGTTCCAGCAGAAGTTTGGTGCTGCAGTAAGTTACCTTCAATCATTCCCAGTATTGTCTCCATATGAGTATCATGTCTGTGTCTCACAAATTTTTCTCTTATAAGATCATTGATGTTTTATCTAATAATTCAACAAAATATTTGAGTGCCTGATGTATGCCAGGCACTGTACTGAGGTGTGGGGTAAAACAGTCTTCAATTCCCAGCCCTCAAGAAGCTTACATTTTAGTGTAAGGAAACAAATAATTGTATATAATCTGGTGATAAGTTTTTTTTAAATATATTTTATTGATTTTTTACAGAGAGGAAGGGAGAAAGATAGAGAGCTAGAAACGTCGATGAGAGAGAATCATCGACCAGCTGCCTCCTGCACACCCCCTACCGGGGATGTGCCCACAACCAATGTATAATACATGCCCCTGACCGGAATCGAACCTGGGACTCTTCAGTCCGCAGACCGACGCTCTACCGATGAGCCAAACCAGTTTTAGCTGGTGATAAGTTTTATGAAGAAAAATAATATGTAGTGTAGTGAATAGAATTCCTAGTTTTAGAGACAATCTCTATGAAGAGGTAAGTTGGGGACACAGACCTGAAAGAAGAGAGCCAGTAATGTGGCTATCTAGGTAAGAAATTTAAAGAAGATATAATTTGCAAGTGGCAAAACCCTAAGACTAAGGTACACTTGGCTTTTGTGAAGAAATAGCAGGGATCACACTGAAGAAGAATGATAGGAAATGAGAGAAGAGAGGAGGTATATCAGTTAGGGCTTTTATAGACATTATAAGAATTTTAAGTTTGACTTGAGTGAGATGGACAGCCATTCATACTTTTTTCTTTTTTAATATTTTTTATTGATTTCAGGAATGGAGAGGGAGAGATAGAAACATCAATGATGAGAGAGAATCATGGAATGGTCGTCTCCTGCATGCCCCCAACTGGGGAATGAGCTCGTAATCCCGGGCACATGCCCTGACTGGGAATTGAACCTGGGACCCTTCAGTCCACAGGCCAATCTCTATCTACTGAGCCAAGCCTGTCAGGGCCATTTGTATGTTTAATTATTTACTTATTTACATTTTATTTACTGATTTTAGAGAGAGGAAGGGAGACAGACATCTATTTGTTGATCCTGGTGGGATCGGGCCTAAAAGGGCAGCCGGACATCCCCCAAGGGGTCCCGTATTAGAGAAGGTGCAGGCTGGGCTGAGGGACACCCGCTCCCCTGTGCACGAATTTTGTGCACTGGGCCTCTAGTTATAAATAATGCTATGAACACTCATGTACAGGTTTTTGTGTGGACATATGTTTTGTGTGGACAGGTTTTTGATGGGTCATATTGTAACTGTTTACTTTTCTTTTTAAACATGTTTTTATTGATTTTAGAGAGAGAGGAAGGGAGAGAAAGATAGAAACATTGATGAAAGAGGGGGGAGGATTGGAATAGGGAATTGAGGGCAAATATGTGATACCTTAATCAATAAAGAAATTTTTTAAAAAAGAAAAAGAAACATTGATGAAAGAGAAACATCAACATCGAATGGCTGCTTCCTGCATGCTCCCTTCTGGGGATCAAGCCACAACCCGAGCATGTGCACTGCTTGGGAATCGAACTGTTACCTCTTGGTGCATGGGTTGACCCTCAACCACTGAGCCATACCAGTCGGGCTCTGTTTAATTTTTTTTTCTTCATACTGTTTTCCAAAGTTATATTCCCACCGACAGGATATGAGGGTTTCAATTTCTCCACATTCTCCACTGAAAGGTGATGTGGCTATTAAACTGAGATGGGAAAGACTATGGGTAGAAAAGTTTAGTTTCTGTCAACCTAAGTCTAGAGATGAGGAGAAAGGTCTGAGATGGAGATATAAATTCAAGTGAATTCTAATGATATTTAAAGCCTTGAGATTATGTTGTCACTTTAATTATAGTAGGTCCTCGGGTTATGTCAGAGATCCTTTCTATGGCGAGTCTTACAGTGATTTCCCGGAACTCAACTACATAAGCACCTAGGTCACTCACATGGAGCACATGATAGCAGTTACGAAGTGAAACAGTAAAAAAAAGTTAAAAGAAAGATAACAATTCCTGAACTTTACTTGCAGTAAATAAATGATAAAAAACATAAAGCACATATGTACATACGTCAAAATGACGGAACTTTTCTTTTAATTATAAATAAATGGAAGATGGCAATATAACCATGAAACGAGGTACATCTAGTCCTACATAGCCCGAGGACTGCCTGTATAGGCATGCGAGTAGTATAAAATGGTATCTGGTGGTTTTGATTTACATTTCTCTGGTAGCTAATAATGTTGACTGTGTTTTCAGGTTCTTTTTGGCTACTTGTATATCTTCTTCAGAGAAATATCCTCTTGCCCACTTTTAAATTCATTATAATAATTCTTTATAGTTAAAAGATTCTTTAAAGGGTCTATGACAACAAAAATGGGGTAAGAACTTTTGCTTTGGAGATTTAAAGAGATAGTTGGAAATTCTTATCAATAGGGAAATACAGTTTTTATTCTCGGTTCTGCAGCCTTCTTGTTGTTTGATGATGGAATTAACCTTCATTCTCCTTTTTTTCATCAGTGATAAGAGATACTCAGTATGTAGAACACTATGCTCTCTAAAGGAAGATATTATATTTAGTGTATAGTAGTTACCATGCCCTTGTATTCTTGAGTAATTTACCTACCTATAAAATGGAGAGAATGTTGTATCATATAGATATTTTAATATTGTGGATTAAGTATCTTAGACTTATGTAATGTTTTGGAATAGGATAATATTGTAGATAGTCAACGGACTAGCATATGTACCAGACATATCACTTTTCAATTTTGAGTAATTGAATGAATCCAGGACTTAAAGGGACCTGTTCAGTCCTTGTTTCTCTGATTCTGAACAGTAGGTGCTGTGAAACTCAGCCACTAGGTGAGTTCCCGTCAGGAACAATAAATTGCTCTGTGTTAGGGTGCCATTCTTTGATGTGGAGTTTGACCATAAAGACTAGAAATCTGCTGAAACCGGTTTGGCTCAGTGGTAGAGCGTCAGCCTGCAGACTGAAAGGTCTCAGGTTTGATTCCGGTCAAGGGCATGTACCTTGGTTGCGGTAGGGAGTGTGCAAGAGGCAGCTGATTGATGATTCTCTCCCATCGATGTTTCTAACTATCCCTCTCTCTTCTTCTCTGTAAAAAATCAATAAAATATATTAAAAAAAGAAAAAGACTAGAAGTCTTTCTCTGTAACATCCTTGGTAACATAAGTTATCTGAGTTTTTAATTCTTACTCATATTTGGGATATGAGTGATTTATTTTCCTGTTGTGGAATAATTTTGTGAAAGCTAAAAAGAGGATCAGAAGTGTTCAATGTATCACATGATCTCACTCATTTGTGGAATATAATGAACAACATAAGCTGATGAACAAAAATATATCCAGAAATAGGGAAACACTGAACAGACCGTCAAACCTCAGAGGGAAGGTAGGGGAGAAAGGGAAGTAAGAGATCAACCAAAGGACTTGTATACATCCATATTAGCATAACCAATGGACATGGACACTGAGGCAGTAGGGGCTTCTCCTGGGGGATGGGAGTGGCCTGGAGGGGTCAATAGGAGAAAAGGGAGACATGTGTAATACTTTAAACAATAAAAAAAAAATTAAATTAAAAAAAAAAGTGTTCAGTGATGGTGTGTAAGTGTGTGTGGGTGTGTGTGTGTGTGTGTGTGTGTGTATGGCAGACACCTGTTTTGGATCAGTCAAATTTTATAAGTTTAAAAAATATGATCCACTTTGTTCACTGCTAGCTATTTTACTTGTGTCATTCATGATGTTATAATTGCAAAATTAACTCCCTGGAGAATTCTTTTTTCTTCTTTTATTACCAGATGCTCCACATCAAGAAGCAGAGTGTTTTGAGTGTGACTGCAGAAGGAGCTAATGTATGTCGTCATGGGAAACTATGTTGGCTTCAGGTAAAACATAGTTATAAAAAACTTTTTATTTTGAAAAGAATTATAGCCGAAACCGGTTTGGCTCAGTGGTAGAGCGTCGGTCTGTGGACTGAAAGGTCCCGGGTTCGATTCTGGTCAAGGGCATGTGCCTTGGTTGCGGGCATATCCCCGGTAGGGAGTGTGCAGGAGGCAGCTGGTCAATGTTTCCCTCTCATTGACATTTCAAGCTCTCTATCTCTCTCCTTTCCTCTCTGTAAAAAATCAATAAAATATATTTTTTTAAAAAAAGAAAATAATTATAGATCACTTGGAAATTTATATTAATTGTCTTCATTGTATCACCCAAGTGTCACTGTACTAGAACTTGTTTGGGAATTCTTTCATTCTTTTTACTACTCAGTTTATTATTTTCAAAAGAAAAGAGCTTCTGTCTCTTTATTGATTCACTTTTATAATCATTACTAGAGGTTCAGTGTATGAAATTCACTGGGCCTCAGCCTGGCCTGCACCCTCTTGCAATCCAGGACCACTGGCTCCTAAACACTGGCCTGCCTTCCTACCTGATTGTCCCTAAACTGCTCTTCTGCCTGCCTGATCACTCCTAACAATTCTGCCTGCCTGCCTGATTGCCCCTAACCACTCTGCCTGCCTGCCTGATTGCCCCTAACCACTCTGCCTGCTTGCCTGATCACTCCTAACTACTCACCTGCCTGCCTGATCACCCCTAACCATTCTATCTGCCTGCCTGATCACCCCTAACCGCCTCTGCCTTGGCCCTGGCTGCTGTGGCTTCGTTCCGAAGGTCATTTAGCTGTCAGGTCTAATTAACATATTACGCTTTTATTATTAGAGATTCTGCTTGAGATTTTTTTTCCCAGCTTTATTCTCTTGCCTTAGCTATATGAAGAATTTCTCATCTTTCCTGTTGTATCCTAACTTTCCACAGCAGGTTTCTACCACATCATTTTTATTTTCCTGGACCTTAGAGATGTCAGGTGAGGGTCCCTACTATATCCAAAGAACTTTATAATGAGCTTTACATAGCTAAGTTGGGTAGCCACCTTTGGATCACACTCAGAAGCATCAGCATTTAAGGAACTAATACCCAAACAATGTCTTCTATCTTTTGAATAAACACATACCTCCAGCTACTGAAAAGATATTTTTTATTAGGATTGGCAGTCTGCTCTCTTGACCTTCTCTCTCTGAAGTACTCATCTTCTTAAAGGAAAAGAAATGGAGATATCAAACCCAGTTTTGCTGAAGGATTAGATTACCTCTTTCATTTCATGCACTTTCATGGCAAACTTTAGTTTTTAGGCGACTAACTTTGAGTTAGCAACAGAAATGCAAATTTCTTTTTTTTTTACATATATATATTTATTTTTTTAAATATATTTTATTTATTTATTTATTTATTTATTTATTTATTTATTTATACAGAGATGAAGGAAGAGGGATAGAGAATTAGAAACATCAATAAGAGAGAAACATCAATCAGCTGCCTCCTGCACACCCCCCACTGGGGATGTCCCCGCAACCAAGGTACATGCCCTTGACCAGAATTGAACCAGGAACCCTTCAGTTCGGAGGTCCACATTCTATCCACTAAGCCAAACTGGCTAGGGCTACGTATATTTTTATTGATTTCAGAGAGAAAGGGAGAAGGATAGAGAGATAGAAACATCAATGATGAGAGAGAATCATTGATCAGCTGCCTTTTTCATGACCCCTTCTGGGGATTGAGCCCATAATTGAGGCATGTACCCTGGATCAGAAGTGAACCTGGGATCCTTCAGTTCCAGGCCAACTCTTTTTTTTTTTTTTTTTAATCAATCTTTACTGTTCATATTATTACAAAGGTTCCTCATTTCTTGCCCCCTCCACCAGGTTCCCACCCCACCCGCCGCCCCCTCCCCATACCCCATTGTCCTCATCCATAGGTGCACAGTTTACATTCAGTCTCTTCCCGCATCCACCACTCCCCCTTTCCCCGAGAACTGTCAGTCCACTCCCCTCCCGTATCTCCGACTCTACTACAATCAACAGCTAATATTGTTCAATCTCCTTTTTTTAAAAAAATCAATAAATTTTTACACTTTTAAGAATAAATTTTAAAATCTAATAGTTTTAAACCTTGTTTTTTTCTGCCCTGGGAATTGAGGAGCAAACTTGTTTACATGTAAACTTGCCCTTAGGCTATCAAAAGGTGTAGCCATTCAAATGTAAATGAACACATTGTTTAAAGATAGCTGCTGGTTGGAATTGGATTACCTGTTCTGGGTGGGAAGGGCTTGTCCTCCCCTTTCTCCATTAAAATTAAGATGTTAGCTTTAAAACCTCTTTTTAGCAAGAGACCTTAAACTTTCAGAACTTTAAATTTTTCAGATAGTAAATCAGTTACTTAGCATTTTCTCAAATCAATAATATCTCCACATGCCCAAGGATACACTTCACACAAAAGACATTTCCAAATAGATCAACCACCTCATCCAGGCCCCACACAAGGCATTCACAGATCAACACCCCAGCACTATAATAACTCAACACATCCAGATCTAAGCCTTCATCACTTGATTCAGCAGACCCTCAAGTTCCCCCAAATTTTCCAGCCATGTTTGAGAGGCAGCCCTGGGGTGTGGGCAGGCGAGGAGCGAGCTGTTCTGGGCCTGGCTGCTCCGGGCCTGGCCTCTGTTGCTCTGGCCCACTCCACAACCAGCTGTTCCGGGTCTGGCCACTGCCGCTCCGGCCTGGCTGCTACTGCTCTGGGCCTGGCTGCTATCGACCCGGCTGCTCTGGGCTCGGTTGCTCCAGGCACAGCCACTCCAGGCCCGGCTGCTCCCGGCCTGGTTGCTCCTGGCCTGGCCGCTCCGGGCCTGGCCGCTCCCAGCCTGGCTGCTGCTGCTCTGGGCCTGGCTGCTTTGGGCCCAGCTGCTCTGGGCCTGGCTGCTCTGGGCCCGGCTGCTCCCGGCCTGGCTGCTCTGGGCTTGGTTGCTCCAGGCACAGCCACTCTGGGCCTGGTTGCTCCCGGCCTGGCTGCTCTGGGCCTGGCCACTGCTGCTCTGGGCCTGGCTGCTCCCGACCCAGCTGCTCTGGGCCCCCAGGTCAACTCTTTATCCTCTGAGCCAAACCAGCTGGGGCACAAATCCAAATTTCTTAAAATAAAATTACATAAGCAACAAAAACAAAAATAAACAAAGGGGACTATATCTAACTAAAAGGCTTCTGCACAGCAAAAGAAAAATCAATAAAATGAAAAGGCAACTCATGGAATGAGAGAAAATATTTGCAAGCCATATATGTGATAAAGGGGGTAATATCCACAGTATATAAGGAATTCATACAATTTGATAGCAAGAAATCCAATTTAATATTGGGCAAAGGGCCTGAATATAAATTTTTTCCCAAAGAAGATACATTAAAAGATTCTCAGCATCAGTAATCATCAGGGAAATGCAAATCAAAACCATACATGAGCCGAAGCCGGTTTGGCTCAGTAGTAGATCGTCAGTCTGCAGACTGAAAGGTCCCAGGTTCGATTCCGGTCAGGGGCATGTACGTTGGTTGCGGGCACATCCCCGGTAGGGGGTGTGCAGGAGGCAGCTGGTCAATGTTTCTCTCTCCTTAACGTTTCTAGCTCTCTACCTCTCTCCCTTCCTCTCTGTAAAAAATCAATAAAATATATTCAAAACCAAACAAAACAACCACAATATAACCTCACACCTGTTAGGATGGCTGTTATAAAAAAGGACAAAAAGAAATAAGTACTGGAGAAGATGTGGAAAAAAGGAAATTCTTTGCACTGTTTCTGGGAAGTAAAGATGTAAAGTATAGGTAGTATAAGGAATATAGTCAAGTAATAACTATGTATGTTGTTAGATGGGTACTAGATTTATCAGGGTAATCACTTCATAAGTTATATAAATGTCTAATCACTGAGTTGTACACCTAAATATATATATATATATATATATATATATATATATATATATATATATATATCAACTGTAATTGAAAATATAAAATGATTTAAATTAATAAAAATAAGATGAATGTAGCAAATCTTTGTTGAGATACAATGATTTTTTATATCCTTTGGCCTACTTCTCAGGGCCACTTCTAGGAATCTATCTTCAAAATATAAAGGAAAATATGTGTGATCTGTTCATCCTGGCATCATTTATGAAGACAAAAAGTCAGAAACTACTTAAATAGTTAATAATAGAAGTTACAGTATATCTTATAACTCCTTTATGGATGCCAGAAACTGATGACAAATTCAATATAGAAAAATATTTGAAAGTTCATGAATGGAAAAAGCAGGATATAGATTTGAATGCATATTATTGTGGCCATGTACATATTTTGCATATGAAAAAAAATCAAAAGGAGAATTGTACGGCATGTGTTGATTTGCTGAAGAAATGTGTAACAGCCATCCATGTGCCTGACTGTGTTCTAGTTGCATGTATAATGGTGAATTTGACCTAATCTCTTCTCTCATAGAGCTTAAAGTCTAGCAGAGAATTATTTTAAAAACTTTTAGTGTCTATTCAATTTTTATGTTTAAAGATGTAGGGGAAAGAGCAGGGATTAATTATTTATGTGTCAAATTCTAGCAAATATCATGAAGGATCTGAGATTGGTTACTGGTAGGCCTGGCAACTGTAGCTGTAAAAACCGTTAGCTCTTGAAATGACAAAGATGGCATCAGAATGTCATGTGTCTGCCTCTGTAGACCAACTCAGATCTTTTTTGGCCTTGTACTCTCTGACTCAGTAGATTTTTCAGTTGTACAGTTTTTGTGGCTTTTATGAACAAAAACTACCTAGAATTCTTATGATTGTATAAAATTGATCTATAAAACAGTGTTTCATATCCTGCCATTTGTGCCAGTATATTTGTTGCCTGTTTTATACTGATGAGAAACAGGGATCTTTTCTATGAGTAACTTCATGTGATACCTAACACATTCATGCTTACTATGAAACTAAAAAAATAAAATGCATTTTGTGTTGTTAATAACAAAATATATTGTTCATATTCTCCTTAAACCTGGAATCCCTGGGGTATTAGAATACCATAGGGGATACTGGTAAAAATTAAGTTGGGACAAAAATGTGAAAAGCTAAATTACCAGATTGTCTGTTTCTCTTCTTTTGAAAAATCACAGTTGTAGTGTCTTTTTTTTTAAACTTAAGATCAATGTAAACCCATTTTTATCTAAGAATATTGAATGCCTATTGTTTACTTTAAAAGTGAAGATGTTAAATATTTTATCACGTCTTTCTTGATCTTCAGATCCCTTTCCCTAGTTCTTCCTTATTCTATAACATGTGTGACTGGATGATTTATTGTAGGTGGCCACAAACAGCCGTGTCTACTTATTTGACATTTTCCTTCTTGGAAATCGTGCTTTCAACAATGGACTCCAGATGGTATTAGAAGACAAGAAGATTTTGAAGGTGCGTGTGTAAGCTGATTCCTCTGCTAATAAAACTAGTAGCCAGGTTCTAATTACTCTGTCTCTGTCTTCTGATGCCTTAGGTTATCCATGATTGTCGTTGGCTTTCTGATTGCCTCTCTCATCAGTATGGAATTTTGCTGAATAATGTCTTTGACACACAGGTACATGAAGGGAAATTCTGGGTTTAATCTACATAGTGCCTGTAGAAAATAGGCCTTGTCTAATGAGTTGTTGAAAGTCTTTATGTGTGTGTGCCCCATTCCTGCTCATTTCTCATGTAAGATGTTTGTCTGATGAGTTGTTGAAAGTCTTTATGTGTGTGTGCCCCATTCCTGCTCATTTCTCATGTAAGATGTTTGTACAATATGTGAGATCATTTGATGAAATGTAAAATCACTGCAAAAAAGTCACCTAAAAGTATTCAGTATTTTGCTCCAGAATTTGCTCCGTACTCTAGTATATCATATTCAGAAACAAACAATTTTGGGGTCATTCAAAAGTCTGAGATGAGATCTTAGTATGAGGTGAACAATCACATCTCTGCCTTTACCCACATATATACCAGTTAAGGCTAGTGGCTAGTTGACATTTAGCTCAGGGATGCAGGTCATCCTAGATATGTTCAAAAAGCCTCTTTTGGTCCAACATAACTTGAAGATATATTATTTTTCTCTGCTCTAAAGGACCCTAGAGAAATCAGAACTTTTTAGACGATACTACCTCTTAGAGCTGGTTTGGCTGTGAGAGCAGGAAAACTATTAGTTTTCACTGTGCTTTCTCAGGTTCTTCTAGGTGTATGCCATTGAAAGTAAAATCTTGAATATATAAGTCCTAGAGCCTTTGGAGAGGGGTGAAAGTAATGAGTTGGCCAATTATTTCTTATTGAATTCCTAAAAGTTTATTTTTATTATTATTATTTTTGTGATTCAGTTTGCCCTGTATGTATCTCCTCATTTTACATGTTCTTTGGGCCTTCTTTCAGGATCTTTCAATCTAGAGAGATTGCTTTTTTTTTTTTTATTAAATTATTATCTGTGTACATATTTTAACATTGCCCCCTCTCCCATACATACCCTCCCTCCCCAGAATTCTGTGTCTATTGGTTGTACTTATATGCATGTATACAAGTCCTTTGGTTGATCTCTTATCTCCCCCAGATCTCCCTACTCTCCCCGCTGTAATTTTACAGTCTGCTTGTTGCTTTATTGTCTTTATATCTGACTTTTGGTTTGTCAATTTAGAGAGATTGCTTTTGTGCTTATTCCAAAACATAAGAGAATTGCTCATTGTTCCCTTGAGGCCATCAGGATTCTTTATTATGTATTGTGTAATGAAGACACTGGCATATCTTTCCATTTTTTCTTCTCAGATTTTCATAGTGAAAGAAGCAGGTATTGAAGAGTTTTTCTAATTTGTTTTCCTTAGCACTAGCACTAAGTGCAACTAGCAACTAGCACTGTTGCTGTTGTAAGAAATCACAAATTTAGTGGCTTAAAACATTAATTTGCCCTGGCCAGTGTGGCTCAATTGGATGGGTGTTGTCCCTTGCATGAAGAGTTGCCAGTTTGATTCCCAGTCAGGGCACATGTCTGGGTTGTGGGTTAGAGTTTAGGATTAGGATTAGGTCCCCAGTGGGGGGACATTCGGGAGGCAGTAGATAGATGTTATGTTCTCACATTGTTTCTTTCCCTCTCCCTTTCTCTCTTTAAAAATCAGTTTTTTAAAATCTTAAAAACAACAACAACAACATTAATTTGCTCTCTTACAGTTCAGGAATTAGGCATCTGAAATAATTTTTATTGGGCTATAGTCAAGGTGTCAGCAAGGCTGGTTTCTTCTGGAGACTGATGGGAAAAGAGTCTGATTTCTTGCTTTTTCAGTTTTCACTTATATTATTTGGATTGTTCTTCAAAGTGCATCACTCCAAAGTCTGCTGCCATAGTAAAATCTCCTTCTGTTTCCCTCTCATAAGAACATGTGATTACATTTAGAGCCCATCCTGATAATTCAAGATGCTATTCCCATCTCAAGATCCTTAACTTATTATAGCTTCAAAGTCCATTTGTTCCATAAAATAACATTCATATGTTCCAGGAATTAGGATGTAGCTATCTTAGGTGGCCATTATCTAGCCTATCACATACAGGTAAATAATTATTTCACATTTTTAAAAATATGTTTTTTTAAAATTGATTTTAGAGAGAGGGAGAGAGAATTAAAAGCATCAATAATGAGAGAGAATCATCTATTGGCTGCCACCTGCACGCCCAGGTATGTGCCCTGACTAGGCATTGAACTGTGACCTACTGGTTCATGAGTTGATGCTCAATCACTGTGTCACACCGGCAGGGCTTAATTCTTAATTTTATTAGCTTTTCTTACCAAAACTTTACTACAGTTGCTAATCTCTATATATAAAAGCCTAAGTGACCATCCAGCCATTTGACTCTCCAACTGGTAGCTATTATGTGCAATGATCACCAGGGGGCAGACACTCAACACAGGAGCTGCCAAGCTGCAGTAACTTGGCAGCTGCGGTTCTTGGATTATGCACCTGGAAGAGGAGGGAGCCCAATTCTGGGGTGCATCACCTGAGAATTGCCCTCTTGCAATCCAGGACTCCTTGGGGGATGTCAGAGAGTTGGTTTTGACCCAATCCCACAGGCCAGGCCCAGGGACCCCACCAGTGCATGAATCTGTACACTGGGCCTCTAGTATGTAATAAAAATAATTCTGTTTTTTTAAATCCTCACCTGAGGACATGCTCAGAGAGAGGGAGGGAGGGGGAGAGAGGTTGCTGGGAGATTGCCTTCCATATGAGAGAGAGACAGAGAGAAAGAGAGAGAGAGAGGTTGCTGAGAGATTGCCTTCCATATGTTTCCCAACATTGGACCAAACCTGCAACTCAGGTATGTGCCCTGATCAGGAATAGAACCAGCAACTTTTGGGTGCATAGAACACTCAACCAACTGAGCCACTGTGGCCTGGCAAAATAATTCTTGAACTTTATCTTCCTTTCCCCATTTTCTAAAATCACCAAAAAATAATAAATAACCATAAGGCAGGCAAATAAAAGAAGTGGAAAAGAAAGGAGACAAGTATACATTAAAATTGGGTGATCAGCCAAAACTGGTTTGGCTCAGTGGATAGAGCGTCGGCCTGCAGACTGAAAGGTCCCAGGTTCTATTCCAGTCATGGGCATGTACTTTGGTTGCAGGCACATCCCAATAGGGGGTGTGCCAGAGGCAGCAGATCAATGTTTCTCTCTCAGTGATGTTTCTAACTCTCTATCCCTCTCTCTTCCTCTCTGTAAAAAATCAATAAAATATATATTTTTAAAAGTAAAAAAAAAAATTGGGAGATAATTTTCTATTCTCCTCCCCTCCCCCCCCCATTTTTCAGAATAAGTTGACTATACAACTTTCAATTTTTCATATGGGTCATTGGGGAAAATGGTATTTAAAGACATTATCTAGCCAAAACCGGCTTGGCTCAGTGGATAGAGCATTGGCCTGCAGACTCAAGGGTCCCAGGTTCGATTCCAATCAATGGCATGTACCTTGGTTGTAGGCACATCCCTAGTGGCAGGTGTGGGGGAGGCAGCTGATTGGTGTTTCTCTCTTATCGATGTTTCTAAATCTCTCTCCCTCTCCCTTCCTCTCTTTAAAAAATTAATAAAATATATATTAAAAAAGATATTATCTAAATATGCTTCTGTTATTTCTGCCAGGTGTTAGCTCTGTGTATATATTCTGCAGACTGGTCTGTGTGTCTTTTTTTAATGCCATAGGTGGCAGATGTCCTTCAGTTTTCCATGGAAACAGGCGGCTTTCTTCCAAACTGCATCAGTACTTTGCAGGAGAGTTTAATCAGACACCTTAAAGTAGCCCCTAAATATCTCTCCTTTCTGGAAGAGAAACAGAAACTGATTCAGGTGAGTATTAAAGGATGTCCCATATGATATTAGTTTTTTTCAAGTGCTTTCTGAGTGAGTTTATTAGCATATTCTATAGAGAAATGACAGATGCCATGTAAGCATTTGAGCATTGCTAAAATCTTAGTTGTTCCAAATGGCACCAGTTTGTTTGTGGGCTCAAGTGGGTAAGAGCCAGGATTCAGATCTGTTGTCTGTCAATTAAAAAGCATTCTGAAATACATTTTTAAATTGGGACAAGAAGGTGATTAGATTGGAAATTTGGATTAAGCAATAGAACAAAAATAATTCCAATTATTTATCCCAAAGTAAGGTAGATTTTATTTAGCTCCTGATAGTCCCTCATGATAAACTGGGATCTAGATCATTTGGCTATAATTTTGGCCATATAACCAAATATGCTGCCTTCAGTTTTATTATTATTTTTATTTATTTAATTTTTATATTTTATTGATTTTTTACAGAGAGGAAGGGAGAGAGAGAGCTAGAAACATCGATGAGAGAGTCATCGATCAGCTGCCTCTTGCACACCCCCTACTGGGGATATGCCCGCAACCAAGGTACATGCCCTTGACCAGAATCGAACCTGGGTCCCTTCAGTCCCCAAGCCGACGCTCTATCCATTGAGCCAAACCAGTCTCGGCTGCCTTCAGTTTTAAATAAATCCTGATTTATTTTTCTCTCCCCCTCCCTCCTTCCTTCTCATCTTCTCTTTCTTCTCTCTCTCTCTTCTTCCCTCCCTCTCTCTCTCTCCTTTTCCCTGTCTTTCCTGAATCATAAAGTGTGTATGTATGTGTGGGTGTTCTCAGAAACCTAGCCATAGTGTGAAAGTAGAAGGTAATAATAATTGAGGAAAATGACAGTAATAGTGTTTTAAGTTAAACAGCACTTACATAAACAGTTATTTTCTTTTTTTTTTACAGTTATTTCCTTTAATGTTTTGCTTACTATTGTTTTGGTGTCTATAGGAAAATACAGAAGTGTGGTTCACGCGACCTCTTTCACCCTCCTTGCTGAAAATTTTGGCCCTAGAAGCCACCTACCTGCTACCCCTTCGCTTGGTACTCCTGGATGAGATGATGTCTGACCTAACCACCCTGGTGGATGGGTACCTAAACACCTACCGAGAAGGGTCTGCAGACTGGCTGGGAGGCATGGAGGTAGGTGCAGCTGTCTGTGGCTGTGTCTTGAGGACTTCTGCTTCTGCTTTATTCCTGTAGAGTGATATCCACAGCAAATTTCACGAGGCAGACTTGGTAATAAATATTTTTTTAAATATATATTTTATTGATTTCAGAAAGGAAGGGAGAGAGAGAGAAACATCAATGATGAGAGAGACTCACTGATCGGCTGCTTCCTGTATTCCCCACACTGGGGATTGAGCCCACAACCTGGGCAAATGCCCATGACAGGAATTGAACCTGGCACTAATCAGTCCACAGGCCAATGCTCAATCTACTGAGCCAAACCGGCTAGAGCTCATTAGTTATTTTTATGATGTCAGTACAATATAAGAAAAATTATAGACCAGGAGTTGAGAAACTATTATATTGCCCTTAAGGCCTAATCTGTCCCCTGGCCTATTTTGGTATAGCTCACAAACTAAGAATGGTTTTTACAGTTTTAAGGAATTATTAAAAAAAAAAAAAAAAAAAAAAAAAAAGTTTGCAGTGGAGATGATTTGATGGTTTGTAGCTTAGAAAGGCTAAAATATTTACTATTTGGCTCCTTACATAAAAAGTTTGCAGGTTGTTGGATTCTCCATTAGAAATTCTAATGCAGAATCTTAAATACAATATTATCATTTCGGTTATGAACCCCACTAGATGTATTTCACTTTTCTTTTATTTTTTTATTTATTTTTTTAAAATAAGTTTTTATTGTTCATATTATTACAAATGTTCCTTCCCCCCCTGCCCCCCGCACCGTTGCTCTCCTCCACCAGGTTCCCACCCCACCCTTTGCCCTTTCCCCACTCCCCATTGTCCTCATCCATAGGTGCACAGTTTATGTTCAGTCTCTTCCCACATCCCCCTCTACCTTTTCCCCAAGAATTGTCAGTTCACTCCCCTTCCGTACCTCTGATTCTATTATATTCAACAGTTACTATTGTTCATCAGATTTTTTTTTAATTTCCTTGTTTTTTAGATTCACTTGTTGATAGTTACGTATTTGTTGTTCATAATTTTTATCTTTGTTTACTTTCTCTTCTGAAAGAACCCCCTTTAGCAATTCATATAATTCTGGTTTGGTGGTGATGAACTCCTTTAGCATTTTTTTATTAGTGAAGCTCTTTATCTGACCTTCGATTCTGAGTGATAGCTTTGCTGGATAGATTATCTTTGGCTGTAGGTTCTTACTATTCATCACCTTGAATATTTCTTGACATTCCCTTCTGGCCTGCATGGTTTCTGTTGAGAAGTCAGCTGACAATCGTATAGGTGCTCCTTTATAGGTAACTACCTGCTTTGCTCTTGCTGCTTTTAATATTCTCTCTTTGTCTTTTGCTCTTGGAATTTTAATTATGATTTGTCTTGGTGTGGCCCTCTTTGGATTCCTTTTGTTTGGAGTTCTGTGCGCTTCCTGGACTTGTAAGTCTAATTCTTTCCCCAGGTGGGGGAAGTTTTCTGCCACTATTACTTTCAGTATGTTTTCGATATCTTGCTCTCTCTCATCTTCTGGGACCCCCATAATTCTGAAGTTGGTTCGCTTGAAGTTGTCCCAGAGGTTTCTTACATTATCTTCAATTTTCTGGATTCTCTTGCCTTCTAGCTTCTGTGGAGGAGTATCTTCTGGCTCTTTATGTTCCAAATCTTTGACTTGATTCTTGCAATCTTCCCTTCTGTTTTTAGGACTCTGTAAAATATTTTTTATTTCAGACAATGTATTCTTTATTTCTTGTTGATCCCTTATCATTTCTTGATGACTCCTTATTAATTCTAGTTGATCTCTTTTCATATCCTCATAGGTCTTATCCATCTTTTCTAGGAAGTTCTTGAAAAACCTTATAAGCGTAGATTTGAACTCTATATCCAGTCGCTTTTTGTCCTCCATTTCTTTCGTTTGTGATCTATTTTGTTGTCGCATTTCGCAGCTCTTTCACTTTTCTTTTAATGTGCTGCAGGATTCTATTTGCAAGCATAGTTTAATGTTAGGAAATTCTCCATTTTACTAGAGCCAAGAAAGCCTCATGTTTATCTCATAAATGCAAAAAAAAAAAACTTTTTTGTATTTTGCTCTCACTGTATAACAGCAACAACAGTAACAAAACATAAAACTCTTTGCATACCTTATTTGACTGGAGGATTTAATGTTTTTTATTTATTATTGAAAAACCAATGACAATTTTATAACTTTTTTGTATTTTGCTCTCATTGTTTAATGCTAGAAACATTTAATTAATTAATTAATTAATTAATTAATTAATTAATTAATAATATATTTTTATAGATTCCAGAGAGGAAGAGAGAGGGAGAAAGAAATAGAAACATCAATGATGAAAGAGAATCTTTGATCTGCTGCCTCCTGCATGCCCCCCACTGGGGATTGAGTCCCCAACTCAGGCATGTGCCCTTGACCAGAATTGAACCTGGGACCTTTCAGTCCGCAGGCTGATGATGCTCTATCCACTGAGCCAAACCGGTTAGGACAATGCTAGAAACATTTATATTATTTCACATACAATATTAATTAAAGTTGGAATAGATATGTCAACATGGTAAAATATTTCTCAAGCAAGAAGACTACATAATGTTTAGGAACACTAAAAGCATTCCCATTAATATAAAGAAAAAAATTAAATGGTGAATATTACCACTACTTTAATATTTTTAAAGCTTTTTAAAAATACATTTATAGATTGATTTTAGAGAAGAAGGGGGGAGAGAGAGAGAGAGAAACATCAATAATGAGAAGTGTCTTTGATCTGATGCCCCTTGCATGCCCCCTATCAGGGACTGAAACCTGAACCCAGGCATGTGTCCTGACTGGGAATCAAACTGTGAATCAAACCATGACCTCCTGGTACATAGGTTGATGCTCAATCCTGAGCTACACCAGCTAGACTACTTTAATATTTTTTGAAGTTATTAGGCAATTGAATATTTTTAAAAAGATGAACTATAAAAATTGAATAGGAGGAATTAGAATTATAACATGCCTATGATACACAGGAAAACTGAAGATAATCAATATCCCAAACAAAAAGAGAATTTAGTAAAGTGGGAAAAAATATGACCTAAAAATTAATAGCTTTCTTATATCCATATACACAGCTAAAAAATGAAAGAAAACATCAATTTGTAATTGTAACAAAAAAGGTAGATTACCTAGAAATAAGTCTAACAAGAAATATGGAATATAGAGATGAAGAAAATGTTAAAATATTACTGAATGACATAAAAGAGAACTTGAACGGAGACACTAAATATTTTTAGCTATCTAAATTAACTTATAGATTTAACTCTATTCCAATAAAAATATTAACACCAGCATTATTTAGGCAAACTGTAATTATAGAGTTTATAGAGATCAATAACCATAGTAAAACATATAAGTCTACAATAAATAAAACAGTCTGCGACTGGTACCAGTGTAGGAAGACCAATGAAAAAGAGTAGAAAACCCAAAATAGATCCAATATATATTTGCCAAGATGGTTGTAATAAAGGTAGACTTTTCAATCCATGAGATAAAAGATAATGATTCTGAAAATGACCTTAGGCAATTGATAAAGGATTGATGGGGAGGAGAATTCAGAGTTGAATTGCTCTCTCTTTCATTACACTGAAACAAACTCTGTGAGTCAAGTATTTTTGTAAAAAATGGAATTATAAAATTAGTGTGGGGTGGAAAAACAATTTAAAAAGTTATCTCACAGTAGGGAATGCTTTTCTTTCTTTCCCCTCAATTTTACTGAGGAATAATTGAAAAAATTAATTGTATATATTTAAAGTATACATATACATTGGTGGAATGCTTCTGAGACCAAGATAACTAACACATCCTTCACCTCACATTGTTAATTTGTGTGTGTGTGTGTATGCTGAGAATGCTTAAGAGCTACTCTCAGCAAATTTCAATTATACAATATAGAATTATTAACTATAATAAATAATCATGCTCTCCATTAATTAAAAATTACTTATAACTAAAAATTGTACCTTTTGAACTATATCTCTCCATTTCCCCCAACTCCTGGCAACCACCATTCTGATCTCTATTTCTATAAAATTTAGCTTTTCTTTAAGATTCCAATATTTGTCTTTCTCTGTCTGGCTTATTTTACTTAGCATAATACTCTCCTGGTTCATCCATATTGTCACAAATGGCAGGATTTCCTTCTTTTCATTGTATGTACATATAGACACATCATCTTCATTCGTACATCCCTTGATAGACCCTTAGCTATTGTGAATAATGCAATGTAAACAAGATTGCTGATATCTCTTCAAAACAGTGATTTTATTTCCTTTGGCTATATACAGATATGGGATTGCTGGACCATATGGTAGTTTTAGTTTTAATTTTTTGAGGAGCTGCCAATACTGCTTTTGATCATGGCTATCCCAGTTTACATCCCCATGAACACTGAGAGTTTCCTTTTCTCCACATACTCGTCCCCCAAGCACTATTATTTCTTATCTTTTAAGAGTTTTGAGTATTTCTTTGTTGCATAAAAAAACACATACACCTACAACTCCATAGCAAAAGAACAAATAATCCAAATAAAAAATGAGCAAAAACCCTGGCCAGGTGGCTCAGATGGTATGAGATGATATCTTTTTAAAAATATATATTTTATTGATTTTTATTTTTACAGAGAGGAAGGGAAAGGGAGAGTTAGAAACACCGATGAGAGCGAATCATCAATCGGCTGCCTCCGGGACACCGCCCACTAGGGATGTGCCCTTGACCAGAATTGAACCTGGGACCCTCAAGTCTACAGACCAACGCTCCATCCAAACTAGTTAGGGCTGAGGTGATATCTTATTGTGGTTTTGATTTGCATTTTCCTGATGATTAATGTTATCAGAGCATTTTTTCATATACTTGCTGGCCATTTGAATGCCTTCTTTGGGAAAATGTTAGTTCAGGTATTTTGTTCATTTTTTTTTTTTAATCCTCATCCAAGGATATGTTTTATTGTTTTGTTGATGTGAGAGAGAGAGAGAGAGAGAGAGAGAGAGAGAGAGAGAGAGAGAGCGCGCGCACAATGTGAGAGAAAAACATCGATCTGTTGCTTCTCATACACTCCCTGACTGGGATTGAACCTGAAACCAAGGTATGTGCCCTGACCTGGAATGAAACTTACAACCTTTTGGTGTACAGGACAATGTCCCAACCAACTGAGCCACCTGGCCAGGGTCTTTGCTCATTTTTTATTTGGATTATTTGCTCTTTTGCTATGGAGTTGTAGGTATATGTGTTTTTCTTTTTTTTTCTTTTTCTTTTTAATATATTTTATTGACTTTTTACAGAGAGGAAGGGAGAGAGAGAGATAATTAGAAACATCAATGAGAGAGAATCATCTATCAGCTGCCTCTTGCACACCCCCCACTGGGGATGTGCCCGCAACCAAGGTACATGCCCTTGACTGGAATCAAACCCGGGACCCTTCAGTCCGCAGGCTGATGCTCTATCCACTGAGCCAAACCGGCAGTATATACCGGCAGTATGTGTTTTTCTATGCAACAAAGAAATACTCAGAACTCTTTTTTTTTTTTTTTTTCAAAAGTCAAAAGTACTTGGACATTTTAATGGAACTTCCCTCCACGTAGCTTCAAACTACCAGGACACAGGCCCCACCAACACCCTTAATCTTCTCCTCGGCTCTTCTGCTGAAGAACTTGGCCTTCACAATGACAGGCTGCTTTGGGAGCTTTCCCTTCCCCAGAACTTTGTAGTAGCCCAATCGCACCACATCAATGATGGGAGCAACTCCAGTCTTGCTTTTGGCAGCATTTACCCGCGTCTGCTCACTGACCAGGGTCCGCAGTTTATCAAGGTTGACAGTTGGGCAGAAGCTCTGGTTCCTCTTTAAATGGAAATGCCTCATACCAACTTTCCCAAAGTAACCTGGGTGATATTTGTCGAAGTTGATCCTGTGATGATGCAAGCCACCAGCATTACCGCGGCCCCCCGGGTGCTTCCTGTGCTTGCCGATGCGGCCGTGGCCGTGGCTCACGTGGCCCCGAAGTTTTCGGGTCTTCCTGAGTCTGGATGGCATGTCGGTGGCCGAGCTGCAAGAGCAGAACTCTTAAAAATTAATAAATTAGACTCTTTTTTTTGCATGGCAAAAAGATAGTGAACAAAGGCAAAGGTAGGCAACCTGGGAAAATTATTACCTCTTGCAACAAAGAGGGCATTTTCTTTTTCTTTTAAAAAAATATTTTTATTGATTTCAGAGAACAGAAGGGGCAGGAAGAGAGAGAGAAAGACATCAATGATGAGAGCGAATCATTGATTGGTTGCCTCCTGCACACTCCTTACTGGGGATAGAGCCCACAACCCGGGTATGTGCCCCGATCGAGAATCGAACCTTGACCACCTGGTTCATAGGTCGATGCTCAACCCTTGAGCCACACCAACCGGGCTCACTGTATAATCTTGATACATACACACACAAAGTTATACACAGAACTGGATTCAAAATATGTTACTTGAAAGGCAGTACTACTACAGTCAAAGACACTAGAGGGTACTAGAAGAATACATTTGAATAGAACTTCTCTTGCCAAATACTGTTAAGTATAGCAGAAGTGATGTTAAGGCATGATCAGAAGTTTAATTATAGGAGATTTGTGTTCAATTTCTTTTCTTAGCCTACATGTATGGAACTTCCAGAGGAACTGCTTCAACTCAGGGACTTCCAGAAACAGCGCAGAGAGAAAGCTGCAAAAGAATACAGGATGAATGCACAGGGACTCCTCATAAGGACACTGCCATGTCCAAAGAAATCCGCGACAGAGACAACAAAGAAAGAGGAAAAATTAAGAGGTGTCTTACTTTGTGAAAAAGCTAGGCTAGATAAAGCTCAAAGTTTTACATCTCTTGAGGATGTAAATTTGCTGAAAGAAGAAGCTAATGGTAAACAAAGTACAACAGAACCTCCACATTTACCTCCCGTAAAGCAGGAAATCCATGAGGATTCCAGTAACAAAGTCATTCGCCCTGAATCAGAGGGGGTGGAGGGCAGGAGAATAAGCCAGAACGAACACCTTAAGACCCCCAAACAGGAATTTCAAGCAAGTTTATCTCTGAAAGAGGAGATAGAACAGTTACTAATGGTGGAAAACAAGGAAGATCTGAAACGCACAAAACAAGATGTCTCGGCGTCTCCTTCCCTTCCTCAGGAAACAGGAATGTCTCCACGTGGCACCTTCCATCCTTTTAGACAAGCTGTGTTTCCCACACTTCCTCCCTGTCCCGCTTTGGAGGAGACTGATTCCTGGGTAAATTCTTCTTCCAGTCTGCCCTAGAGATCCACAGTTCGTCCTTTAGGCCAAAAAGTGGCTCATTTCCCCCTCCCATCGGGCTTTCCTCAGTGCCTACATTTCTCATGTAAATTTAGTTATGCCTCAGTCATAGGCTTCAGGGGAAATTATATCCTCTTGCTTATTCCTGGGAGTGAATAAGTTAACAGAAGAAGTAAATTTTCTGATTATAGCCCTGGGCAGAAGAAATGTTCCCAGTGGCTAGAGTGAATTATTTCTCATAATTTGAATTTAGAGGATTTGAAGAAGGGAAAATCTTGGGATTAATGTCTTGAAGAATCTATACTTTTAAAATTTTGTTGTGTTTTTTGGTTTGAAGAGTGTTGGTAAAACTCTTAGCTATAAGTTTAAAACTAATTGGTACCTGACAACTTTATAAGTTCTTTTTGACTTTTCTTTTTTTTTTATGCCTCATAATTCTTTTTAAAAACTATTAATTTATTTTAGAGAGAGAAAAACATCATTTTGTTATTCAAATTTATGCATGCGTTGGTTGATTCCTGTACGTGCCCTGAAGGTGGATTGAACCCTAAACCTTGGCATCTCAGGACAACGCTCTAACCAACTGAGCTACCTGGCCAGGGCTCTTTTTACCTTTTCAAAATAGTTAAGTTGCCAATTGGAAAATAAAGATACATCTGTACTAAAAAAAATAATAATAAAAAAATATTTAAGTTGTCAATTATATGTCAATAAAGCTGAAAAAATATGAACTGTTTTTGAATTTTGAAAGTTTTATCTGTCTTATGTCATAAACAAACAATAGTTAATGTATCGGAAGCACTATTCCAGTTTTAATTTCGGCCCATTTACTTTTAGAAGATTCTGTCTATTTTCTAAAAAAGCTAGGGCTTTCTTTGAGTATGTCTGTTATGTAAACTTGAAGTTTGGTTCTACTCTATTGGTTTGGAATTGGTATACTTTTTAGGCTGAAAGGAAGGCAGCTTTTTATTATATTTACTAGAGGCCCAGTGCATGAAATTCATACCCTGGGGGTGGGGGGTCCTTCAGCCCCCCCTGTGCCCTCCCGCAGACTAGGACCCGTTGGGGGATGTTCCACTGCTGGCTTAGGCCTGATCCCCTGGGGGCAGTTGGACATCTCTTGCAATCTGGGATCCCTTGCTCCTTACCACCTTGCCTGCTCACTCCTTACCACTCGGCTTGCTGCTCCTTAGGAGCAGGCTTCTTACTGGTGAGCTCGCTGCTCCTTAGTGCTGCCGAGGAGGCCGGAGAGGCTCCCCTCACCGCCGCTGCTGCACTCGCCAGCCAGCCAGCCAGGAGCCCAGCCAGTGGCTGAGTGGCACTCTCTCTGTGGGAGCGCACTGACCACCAGGGTCAGCCCCTGCGATGAGCATCTGCCCCCTGGTGGTCAGTGATCAGTTATTCTGCTTGTTCCATCATAACAGTTGCTTAGGCTTTTTTTTTTTTTTTTTTTTTTTTAATATATTTTTATTGATTTTATACAGAGAGGAAGGGAGAGAGATAGAGAGTTAGAAACATCGATGAGAGAGAAACATCGATCAGCTGCCTCCTGCACACCCCCCACTGGGGATATGCCCGCAACCAAGGTACATGCCCTTGACCGGAATCGAACCGGGACCCTTCAGTCCCCAAGCCGACGCTCTATCCATTGAGCCAAACCGGTCCCGGCTAGGCTTTTGTTATATGGGCTAGAGGCCCAGTGTGAAATTGCACCACCCCGCCCACCCATGCACACCCTGCCCACCTACCTGCTGCCCCTCCTTGACACCCTAACCTCTTCACCCAGAGCTGGAGCGTGCCTTGCTTCGACCTCAACCCCCCCAGCCTTCTCTGGCCACTTCAAGAACCCCCTCGATAATGCGAGTTGCCTCAGGCTGGTCCTGCCTCCTCCAGGCACCTCCCCGTTCTGCTCGAGTGGCTCTGCCCCATCATGGCGCCGGAGGAGAGCTTGGAAGCCTTGTGCCTGCTGCAGAGTTTTGAGCACCGCTTCCTGGTGGCATGCGTGCTACACTCCTTCCCCTGGCAGGGGTGGTGGGACACTCTTGAGTGCAAGCAATGGGTGGCGAAGGACTAGTGAGGGGGTTGCTACGGGCTCTCACCCTCACCCTCCCCACCATGGGATGGTCCCGCCTCCTCTGGGTGCCTCCCCACTTCTGCCCTGTCTCCAGGGCAACACGGTGGTTCCTCCCTGCCATGCCCGCAGCCTCCTGCTGAATGGTCACTATGGCATGAGGGCTTCACGGCCATTAGCATATTAGCTCTTTATTATGTAGCATACTTGCAAGTTGCTCACATTCTTTTGTGTACAATAACCAGTAAACCTGTTTTTACATTAGGTTATCTCTTACATTTCCTAATTGGGTCAGGGTAAATAAATTGGAATATGTTTGGATTTATAGGTTCAGAGTCCAGTTTAGAAATATGTAATTAGATTTTTACAGGGCTCTATTATTTATTTCGCTTAGGGAAAACTTAGGGACAATCTATGATTAGGAACCTCCTTGTCTGCATCAGCTGATTCAGTTATGAATTTCACTGGGAGCAGAGCTGTGCCCTTCCAAACTCCAGAGCCCAGATCTAGTCTAAGGTTAAGATGAAGGAAGGCTAGTGTTGGTCAGTAGTTACTACATCAGCCCTCAAACCCAAGGGTCATGGGTTCAATTCCCAGTCAAGGGCATCTACCTGTGTTGTCAGTAAGGGCTCGGGCGGGAGACGACACAGTATTTTGACTCCCAAACTAAATGAATCTTTGGGCTTTATTATAGTATTTTGTCAGAGAAACACTCATAGTCCTGAAATTGCATTTTCTCCACATCCTCATCTAATGTGAAATGCCTGCCTAAATTCCATGTGTACTGTCAGATCCTACTCTCTAGTGTTCAAGCCCTATTGCTAATACTCTGTACCATTACTCAGATATCTAAAATATGCCCAGAATTTATCCCAACCCCTGGTCAAGTTCTTTACTGACTGTATTTTTCTACTTGAGAGCTCATGAACCACACTGCTTGCTTCTCAAATGGGGAGAGCGGCTACAGTGTTTGGACAGGTTCAAGCCTCAGACTAATGAGGGGGCATGGACCTCTCATGGCAAAGTCGTGTGCAAGTCCCAGCTTGGAGGGCAAAGCCCTCCCAGCACAATTGTAACCAAAAGTTATAGTTGTAAACTTGAACTTATGGTCTGAACATGTGGCCCCACTTGCCTGAATGATGTGGGTTTGAAAGAATTCAGGTGCATGTAATTGAGTAGATTTGAAACCCACGAGAACGTTATAACCATGCCCTTACTTTGCATCATGGGATCTGGCTATAAAATAAAGAGACAGCTCACAGGCTGCGGCCCTGTCTCTCTCCATCAGAGAGGGCAGCGTCCCACCCACACCCAGCTTTCCTCTCTTGTCTGTCTTTTCTAACTCCTTCACCGTCCCCACTCAGGTTCATGCTGGTGCAGCACACTCAAACTCTTGGGGTTTTGCTTTAGTCTATAAAAACTTCTTGAATCCTACTCAAGTCTGACCTTTCCATACATGAACCACAATTAGAGATTCTTACAAATAATCTGACCTTTTAGTTTGGGATTTAGAAAATGGAGATAAATGACTTCTCTGAACAAAAATGCACCATTGAGAATAGAACCAGTGTTTCTTGCTACTTTGTTCATTAAATGTTCTTTCAACTATTGTAAGAAAAATCACTGCAGCAGCTTTGCCTCCAATCTGGCTGTGGGCTTGATAAATATTAACACAATAGAATTTAAGCTCACTATTGGTGTGTCATTGTTTTGACACAAGGTAAGTGCCAACAGCAAACTGAGATGAGGCTTAGAGCAAACCTAGAGTGCTTGGAGCTTTATAGCTGTGTACACTTATCAAAAAGGCATTCATAGCTCCATTGTTTGTGCCCAATGGTTGAGCATCCACCCATGAACCAGGAGGTCACGATTTGATTCCTGGTCAGGGCACTTGGCTGAGTTTCCGTTTGATACCTAGGAGGGCATTCATAGGAGGCAGCAGATAGATGATTCTCATCATTGATGTTTCTTACTCTTCCTCTCCCTCTCTCTGAAATAAAACCATTTTTAAAAGGCATTTGTACTGCCGAGGCCTCAGTGGATAGGGTGTTGCCCTGTGGACTGAAGGGTCACAGATTCGATTCCGGTCAGGGGCATGTACCTTGGTTGCAGGCACATCCCCAGTGTGGGGTGTGCAGGAGGCAGCTGACCCACGTTTCTAGTTCGCTGTCCCTCTCTCTTCCTCTCTGTAAAAACTCAATAAAAATATATTTTTAAAAAATGTATTTCTGCCGAAACTGGTTTGGCTCGGTGGTAGAGCGTCGGTCTGTAGACTGAAAGGTCCCGGGTTCGATTCCAGTCAGGGGCATGTACGTTGGTTGTGGGCACATCCCCGGTGGGGGGTGTGCAAGAGGCAGCTGGTTGATGTTTCTCTCTCATCAACGTTTCTAGCTCTCTATCTCTCTCCCTTCCTCTCTGTAAAAAATCAATAAAATATATATTTTTAAATGTATTTGTACTGTTATAAAAATAAAATACATAAAATTTAGAAAATAAAGAGAAGAATGACTTAACTATCATCCCACATTATACAGTCCTTCCTAGCATTTGGGTATTTTCTTTCAATTTTTCTCATTCTCTCTCTCTCCACATACACACACATATCTGAAATATAATCACTACTATACAGTAAATACACTTAAAAGTGCTTTTTATATCATGTATTTTTCCTTTTTATAATCCTAACACCTAGCGTATTTAATAGATTTAAAAAATATATATTTTTATTGATTTCAGAGAGAGAGGTCGAGGGAGAAAGACAGAAACATCAATGATGAGAGAGAGAATCATTGATTGGCTGCTTCCTGCATACCCCTGACAAAGGATGGTCTGAAATTAAACTTTAACTAAAAGCAGTGATGGTGGGCAGTTATGTCCTAGGCCGGTATCTTCACTGACGAGGTCAATCTTTACCTTAACTGAGCCTATCTGT